AAAATTCAGAGTGGTTTCAAAATGAAATGTACATGCATTAAAAAAAAAATCCTGAGTTGAAGGGGCTAGCAGAAGTCTCAAGCAATGTCCATTTTAACTGAATGTAACAGCAAGTCACATCCTCACTTAATCACTGGGAAATGAGGATGCTATTGCCTAAATCATGAATAACTTGAAATAAAAATCCCATGAACACAACCCTTAGCTCACGGAGGAGGAGTGGATGATAAAATTATCAACTTCCTAATCATTAATGCTGTTAATTGCATTGGATGTCAACTGGGTGCTTCTTGATATGTGTGTTTATTTTCTCCCTAATCTTTAGTCCCATTCTCATACTCGAAAGTTGTTCGCATTGTAACAGCAGGTGGTAATAAGGATGTTAGATTCAGCTGGCAAAAAACATAATGTGTGATGGAATAACTGCGTCACTTTCCGTATAAACTGGCAGCACAATCCTGTGGACTGTGCAGCTGTAACCAGCTCTAGTGTGACTTGCCCAGTTTCCAAGCATAAAAAGTTACCTGATTTAAGCCATTATAGCTAGTGTGTGCTATAATGTCCAATTGGCCACATGCCTCTGCCTCTACAGCATGGCAGTGTGTATACCGAAGCAGCCCCCTGGCTCTTTAGCAGAATGGATTGGAAAGCATGTCTCAGTAAATGCACTGGGTACTTGGAGATGTCACTCTTCAAATTCAGTCACTAAAATTACAGACGGCACATTCCAAGGCTGAAGAGATGGTGGGGCAATGCCAGACTTAAGACAGCTGGCCCCTCATCATCCCTCCTGTTTCGGGAGGGGAGACAATCAATCAAATAATAGCTTCTCAGTGACTACTGTGACATCAGCCTTGTATGAATTTGCCTTGAAGTAATCTAAATAGAGAAAGTTCTGAAATACAACAGTATAAGGACAAGTTGACAGATATGAAGGAAGCAGGAACACAAGTCCCCACTGGGAAGTGGAAGAGTGGTAAAGACTGCAGACAGGGATAGGAGCAGGATGCGCACCTGAAAGCAGCCCCTTTCTTCCCCATGTCCAAACCCTTCATCAGGCTGCTTCTGGGGAGTCAGAAGCTGTGAGCAAATCCTGCTTCTATTACTGGGCTCAGGCAGCAAGCATTCCCTCAAAGAACTGCCTCATTGCTCTCCCTGGCCTTCCTGATTTTCCTCAACCAGCATTCAGTTTCTCTGTCTGCTTCCACACACAGAACCCGATTGACTTTACAAGGAGAACAGAGCATTACTTCCCATGCTCAGAAGAAACTGCAAACAATAACCAAGAAAGTGTAACTGAAACCCAAATTGACTTTCCCAAGTCCCAGATCTATTTAATTTCTGTGTAACATAAATTTACCACACATTTTTGTTTAAACCTAGAGTTTCCAGTGAACCGATTTTTTTAAGCATGGCAGGATCCAGTCCACCTTCTCTTTGACATTCATTCCATTGCATTTGGGGGATGAAAGTTGCTCTCTTGGAAAATGTTATAAAGATTACTATCGAGGCTGGTTTTATTCACTTTTTGTGTCAGTGGTCTGGAAAAAAAATATGTAGCAAGGTGATAAAGAAAAGGATAATGGCACAAAGTGGAGGGGCGAATCATTGTCAATTTAAGAGGCAATGGTAATAAACTTCAAAATGATTTGGGCCATGCAGGAGTAGGCTGGTAAATGATTTATGTGGTTCACTGGAGAAAAATGGAAGGTGATGATTTAGGATATAGTGTTTGTCACAGGATTGGTTTAGCAAAAGTTTACTGGTGAAAAGGACAAAAGTCACTGCACACAGTTCTCAAAATGCATAGAAATAACCACTGCTTTGCTTTAAAACAATGCCTCCCTCTTTTGATTTTTGGTGCATGCAGTAAGTCATGCAAAAGCTTGATCCATAAAACAGTTGAGCCATCATGTTGCACTTAAGGAACTTTGGGGCTACAACAAAAAGTGGAACTTCTCAGAATAAAAATATGTATATTATATTGTTTGCAATTCAGGATAAATATGCCTTTCTACCATGTGTATCCATGGGATGGGTAGCCACTGTGTATATCATTTCCCAAGTCTAATATTCAAGACAAAGGAACTACCCCATCGTAATATGCACACATTTTCCTCTATGGAGATGACATCCATGAAGGGAAGTTAGTGGAAAAAACAGCTCTTAATCTCTGGATACAACCAGTTCAACTATAAGTATACCAACCCAAGTAGATCACAGCATCACTCTGTATTCATTGGGTAAACTATACATAAGCACAAGAGTCTAATATGAACCCTTATAAATCAATTAAACCATCTGACCTTCCTCAAATACAAAGAAATTTGGGTCCCATACCAGCAGTTAACTGGCACATATAAAGATACTGTATTGTTGAACTTATGAACTGGTTTCTGAATGAAATTTGCTGCTGTTCAATACTATTACAATAGAAATGTAATACTTCACAAGAAAGCACTGTATTTCTGTGCTGACTCTGGCCATTTCTGCAACTGCAGATAAAACTAGAGATATCCTGGGAGGAAAACCATTGAGGGCTCAAAAAGTCCACTACTGCAAAACCACTTCAGTTTATTTGGAGAAAATATGTTTTATTGGTGGTGGTAAAGGAAGTGACTTTTTGGAGAAGACAGCTAAATCATTGTGCTAAACCTGGCATAAAACATTTTATAGACAAGGGGCGTCCTGCCAGCCATGTACATAGTTACAAATGCTTGTTTTATTACTTTTCATTTAAATGTGTTATCCTTTCCTACAACAAAATGGTGCTTATTCCCAAGTCAATGTCTTTAGCATTAAGGCAGCAGAACCAAACTCCATTTTATTCCTGAAGTCATGCTACTGCTTTGCTTAGGTGAGCATAAAATATCTGCACATGCTCATAATATTTCTATTTTTATCAGGGTTGGTCAACTGTTTCTTTTGGCTTTTTGTTGTTACATAATTTACAACGGCTTGTGATACGTAAGAAGAGAAATGTTAATTACATGTTTCACAAGTTAATCAATGCTGTCTTAAAAAAGAGCCCACTTTGATGGGGTTTTTTTTTTAAATAATGACCATTAAGTGCAAGGTCCAAGGTGTAGGGGCATTGGCCACAGGGTCATTAAGTTGGCCTACAATCAGTTTTAAGCTAATACATTAATTCAATTGGGCTGAAAAGACAAGGAACATGATTCTGTGATTCACAACTATTTAAATCAGCATCCTTGAACTGAAGCAAGTTAACAACAACCAGCTAAATTCAAAGGGACTAGAACAGTTTAAATGTGTATAAGGCAACTGTAGGCGATTTGTGAATCACAGTGTAAAACCCTACCAGCCACATACACAAAAAAATTCAAAAATAGGAGGAAGACCTGTGGGTGATGCGTAAATCAATCTCCAGATCCACTGACATGATGATTAATCCCACCCTGTCAAGGGTCTAATTCCCACAGCATGACATTTTTGATCACTGAGACTTCAAAACACATCTTTTTGAGGCTACATATCAAACCAAAAGTAGGAGTTTAAATCATTAACAGCACTGATTGGCTGGGGGGGGGCATCTTGAACCACTGAGTAAAACAAATTGTGTACTGTAATTGCAGGGACTCAAGAACCAATGAAACTATGCAAAAACGTACTGAATTAGGATGGATGTCGGAAGACCTGAGCCACAGACCTCCAACTATATCCCCAACAATATGCATGGAAATAAGAAACCCACTTTACATGCAGATCTGCCAGCTCTCCTTATTTTTATACTTATCTCCAAAATTTATATATATCACCTTTTTGTCACGCAGTGTATCCGGCAGAACACCATGGGAGAAATACTAAATTTGAGAACTAACCTCTCGTGCTCCCACTTGAAAAACTGATTTCTCAGCTTCATCTTCGTTCTGGACAATTTCACCGTCACCAGAGTATCCAAATCCATCCGTTTATCAATTAGAGCAGAACTAAACTGAGCTCGTTAGATCAAAGTGAAGACTTTTGATATGCTGTTCAGCTTGCTGGTATTGCTGCACCTTGATGTGACCACACTACAACTTTCCCTGACCTGCGTACCTTTTTACTGACTGTCATTTGCCTGGATCAGTGGATTTCAAATTTGGTCACATCACATATTTGTATTAAGAAACTGTACCAGGGGAGAGAAGAAGTAGTGATATAGAGCTTCTGTTTTAGATAGCTGGTGTGCATCTCCAGTGATTTCTGGTTCTTAGATAGTGTTGCCCTCAGATCTGGAGGGGAACCTTTCTGGGACCCCCATATGCTGCTGTTGTGGGGTGCCTCAGATGCTTGAAGCCTAGTTCTTCTCAGCTCTGCAGTGGGGCTAGGCTACCCAGTTTTATCCCATGCCAACTGTGGTATTTCATAGTATTTCACCTTTTGTCACTGGGAGCAGTATCTTGGCATATTCCAAGCATGGCCTGTTGTATGGCCCCCAGACAGAATTTCTAAATAGCTGGTCAATTTGTATTTGGGGGGTTGGTAAAAGGGAGACCCCTAAGGACATATTTCAGTCTGGGTAAGATATTAATTTTAATGCTGTGAATCCCACCCAGTCCTGAAGAAGCTCTGCAAAAAGGAGAGTATTAGCATTGAACTATTGTAACATATTTTGACCCTAAATTTATTCTTGACCATGTTCAAGATTTATCACAGAAAAGGAAATATCCTAAAAACGTTGATCTGATAGCAAACAAAAAAGGCCTGTCACATGCACAGTATTCAAGATGCAGCTTTGTTCAGACATATTAAGCAAGCACAGCATGCACATGAAAGTACCTTCTCCCTATGATGTACATACACTTATGAATAAACATTTTTATTCTTGGCATGGGCACAATGATGCCAAAACATTTGAAGCCACGATTAAGTATCTGCAGGCAGGCATCGTGGATGCGCAGCATCTGCAGAATTAATCACGGGGAGCACAAATAAGGCTGAGAAGCTTACTGCCTCAAACAGATTTTTAAGAAGACTTCTTTATGCTTACTCTCTTACCGTGCTACATCAGGTTGGGGAATGGTGGGATGACCTAGGAATAGAGATGAAAGAACCAGCTTTTAGCTGTTCCTTGTCAGTTTCACTAATGCTCACAGTTCTGCCCCATTTTGTGTGTTTGTGTGTGTGTGTGTGTGAATTTTCTAAAAGAGTATGCACAAAAATATACACACACGTTGTATGCATTTTGAACACATTTTTCACATAAAATACATGCTTTTGTGTACACTTTTGGGGACTGAAACTGCATCGTGAAATCAGGAACAGTGCATAATCTGACTGACAGCAAGCCTGCGCGTGTCATATTGGGTCCACAGAAAAGTGGACCAAATGACCTGTCCATGCTGATCCCTACCCAGGAAGCCAAAGTCGAATGGAGCTGGGAACAAATCTGAAGCCAATACACGTGAGTTTTAAAAGGACTAAGCAATAGGAAATCTGAGTGGGGACACTGAAAAAGGGTTCAGACAGAAGCTGTAGAATAACTGCTTCTATGATTAAAGGTAAAGGTACCCCTGCCCGTACGGGCCAGTCTTGCCAGACTCTGGGGTTGTGCGCCCATCTCACTCAAGAGGCCGAGGGCCAGCGCTGTCCGGAGACACTTCCGGGTCACGTGGCCAGCGTGACATCGCTGCTCTGGCGAGCCAGAGCCACACACGGAATCGCCGTTTACCTTCCCACTAGTAAGCGGTCCCTATTTATCTACTTGCACCCGGGAGTGCTTTCAAACTGCTAGGTTGGCAGGCGCTGGGACCGAGCAACGGGAGCGCACCCCGCCACGGGGATTCGAACCGCCGACCTTTCGATCGGCAAGCCCTAGGCGCTGAGGCTTTTACCCACAGCACCACCCGCGTACCCGCTTCTATGATTACTGTCTTGTAAAAAATAAAAAGGAAGATCTGCCATTTTAGCATCACAACTCTAGATGTAGGGGACTTCGGTTTTCCTTACGCTTTGATCTTTGGCATGTCCTCATGATTTGTGATGTGAGCAAATAGGTCTTAGAGACAAGCCCAGAATTAGTCCCAACAATGTAAACTACAGAAATAACACTTCCGAACAGCTTTTTAGGCCCTCTTCTTCCCTTTGGCAAATGACTATATTGTTGAAATGGCGACAAGATCGCACTGGCCTATTTATTCTGAATGTTTATAAGTGATGCCAATAAAGGTTTGATGATGATGATGATGATGATGATGATGATGATGATGATGATGATTTTAGGCTCTAATTAGTGTCACTTAGCTGTTCATTATGAATTTCCAGAGTAGCCTTTGATGCAGAGCAATGTGGCATGTGCTAGCAGAAGACTATTCACCCAGCTGGTTTTGCCATCAGCTATCATGTTATGAAATAATAATAATAGTAATCCTATTATTCATAAATACAAAAACAACAGACTGAGAAACAGTTCCACATTGACACTAGAGTGATAAATTGACCATTTACTAAAAAAAAAAAAATCCAGCAGGTGTAGCTATTGTGTACTGGTGCCATCTTGTGGTGGAGAGACAAGAGACTAACAATTTTATACATACCTGTTCAGAAGTAAGTTCCAATAGGCTTACTGTGTGTGTATGGACTGCAGCCTAAAGGCTCTACTGCCATCAAACAGGAAATAAAGAACTGTTCTTACTCTCTAGTTTTTAGTGGATGTCCATATCACTTGACCACTGGTTTCTAATGTCAAGTATTCCACAAAACCCATGTATAGTCATGGTCCTTTTTAAATGCATCACAATGGGAAAGAGATGTGGGCCTTTAATTGTCACAGTGATAGCAAATGTGTTCACCAGGCCTACAACATATGCATTCTTCACTTGGCACCTCCTGTACTGCTGTGCAGTCAATGCCACATTGACACACATTTACTATTCTCTTTTATGTATGGCGTATTTTAGTTGTTGTTTGATCTCATTTTCAGCTATCTCAGTTAAGGCTTAAAGCCAGTAACTGCTCATTTTAATGTTTACTACTCACATATGAGCGCTGTTCGCTGTAACTGCTTGCTTATGTTGGTCTGACTCCATTCTCAGTTGATTAACTTTAATTAGCATAACTCTCTATTTAATGTACAAAATTAATGCTTTAAATAATCTATATTTTAATCAAAACTGATCATGTATATTTTGATTGGTCCAGGGGCCAGTGCTAGTTGCTGGCAGTGCCACATGTTCAGGGTGTGCTTGCACCAACATTTTGAAATTCTGTCCCTTTGGCAATTAGACAGGTGTCTTCTACTCTGTGTTGTAGACACATGTTGAAAAACCTCTCCTTTTAATCAGGTCCCCAGCAGAATTGTTGCTTTTAGTTTGCAACCATTTCTATCTATAACACAATATTTTCATGATTTTTTTATATCTTATGTATTTTTATATGATCCAGTTCACTGCTTAGATGTATATTGAGTGGTTTATAATTTTTAAAAAATAAATACGTAAGAATTTATCTCCTAAACACATCTCCTATGTGTTCTTCTTATGTATGTCTTACTTAACAACTAACAAGGATTAACCACTCCCATATCTTGAAGGATGTTGCTCTGTTGAAACAGACTGGTGTTTACTCTTGCCTACAAAGAGCGGCACAGAGTATTTTTCTTTTTCTGTGTAATATGTGCTATAATTAGTGATAAGCATAAAAAGGAGAGGGGGAGAAAATTCAACTAATGACATGTGACAGAACTTCCTTTCCCACTCCATTCCAGTACACCCTACTTGTCCACTGCAGCCAAGGTGCCCATAAGGCTCCACTGACAGTTCTGTGCTTGGTTGCCTTGCTTCCACCTGAGCTGAATTTCTGATTCACGTCAGAGGCACTTTTTCCAGTGCAACTAAAATCTGCACATTACTAGCCAAGCAGAACCACCAGCAACATGGTGCATCTTGCCTTTGGCTCCTACATGGCAGCTATTGTGACAGTTGCTTCATTCATAGGAGAAGACATGACAAAGATAAATGTGGAAAACTCACCCACTGTAGCACCAGCCTGTCCTTCTCATCTGCTACTCCAGAAGGCTTTTAACAGTAATTCAGAGCGAGGCAAAAAGGTCGGGTTTCTGTATATATAGATATAATGCCTTTCAGAAATAGGCTAGTTTGCTACACACACACAAACCATATATATCTATTCTGGTTAATATTTTCTTCCTGAGGATTTAAATTGGCAATGGTTTTTATTAATTGCTTGTGGGTACCTTTTATTGCATATAAATTTTAAAATGCCAGTATGGGAATCTGTCATACAACAGACTAGCTATAGCCACACTTGAAATTCGTGATGATCAGCCTCCAGGCACACCACTCATTTTGCTACTTATACCTTCATTATCAGTTGACTCATTAATCATAACCTTCGCTTGTAAGGCAGAGTGAATGGCCAGAGGCAGCACTTAAGAAGCTAGAAATCTCATGCTTATTTTGTTCAAACACAGAATTATAAAGAAACATCCATCCCATCACTACTATATATTGATTTTTTTAAAAAAGGATCACCACCAATTTTAAATATATATATTAAGACCAATTGATCCATTAATTTTATGGTTATTAAATCCCAATTCCATTTAGTTGTTAAGAGTAGGAGACATCATAAGCAAGCTACTCAAAAGAAGGAGGGAAGGTGCCTTATTTATAAATGATATACTCTGAATTCAAAGTAGATGCGGTGAAAAGGCATATGCAATAATATCACTCTCCTGCAACCCTGACAGACCTATACTGAGGCAGTCTCAAAATAATAGCAATTGCCAGTCAATATGAATAAGTACCTTAGAGCTAAAGCAAGCACATAGATTCTACTCCTGTCAGTTTAAACTTTATTCACATTCATGTAGTGCAAAGCCCTAAAACTTGAATAGGTGATAGCACATAAATTACTAGGTGTCTACTTAGAGAAAGCTTCTTCCAGCCCATTTTCTACATATGTTTATCCAAAAATAAGTTGCACTGACTTCCACTAAGATTCCTCCCTAATACATCTGCATAGAATAAAGAGTTCTAGCACACAAAACATATGTCTGGATCACTTTTAGCAAATTTTGACTCATGTGTTTACAAAGGCTCTGGAATGACTAACAATTGTGCCATTTAACCTGTTAGTCCCAGATCCATGGAAGGAAGTTCTTTACAGTCTGCAAGTTCATACATATTCAGTGTCACTCTCTTTGTGATGTTTTCTCTCAACTTCCAATGCTGTACCCTTAACAAAGAAGTATTCCAAGGTCAAGCCTTGATGCCAATTAAGATTTGTTCATAGGATTTTTCTAAATTTCGAGGATTTTTATTGAGAGTTCTTTCAAGGAAGCCAGTGGACAGCTGGTTAACCAACAATAACACAAAATGAGGAAATGGACATTGGTTTCTAGATTGATTGCTAAATATTTAATTGTCTTATCTCTGTTCTGCACAAACTGCAAACATTTATATCGCAGCCAAAAGTTTCCCCAGGAGAAGTCATAGCCAGAGACTTGTGGTTTTCATATTTATCCGTGACATGCAATGCAAGTTCACAATGTCTGCATACATCACAGCTTCAAAACCATGGCTTTAGGAAGCTGTGCACATCGCGAATCTAGCATACAGTGCAGAATTTTAGTATCTTGAGAAACTCACACATTTCTAACCCCTACAGGAAAAAAGCTTGAGAGTACGTAGGCTTTAAAAATAACAATAGTAACCCTCCCTTCCCGTTCAACACAAATGATTTTCTAAACTGGACCCACTCTGGAGCATTCTTCCATCTTTTAAAAAGCTGCTAGGATGATTGATGCTGAGCTGTACACAAACACTTAGGATTGCTGCCTTTTTTCTGACACCTGCCTCCCAGGATTTCGCTCATAGCCTGTGGCCAAAGTGCTCCGTGGAGGAATGGAGCGAGAGGCATAGCAACTGCTTTCTCACTTGGTGCTTCAGGGGCATTTAAACTTTAAAGCATAAAAGCAGAGGAACATTCTCCGGATAAAGACTGGGTTGCCTCCTAGTTGCCTCCCATTTTCCTGTGTGCCATTAATTGGTGAGTGTGAGGCAGAAAAGCAGCTGTGCCTCCTTCTGGCATGGGGAAGTAGCTGGCCAATCCCCTCCTGCAAGGATCCTAACTGCCCTCATGGCAGCTGTGGATGCCCTGCCCTCCTGGCCTGGCCCTTTTCACTTGCTCCGCACCCAGATCAGATTGACGCTGGGAGAAGCACTCCTCTTTATCTAAGGCAAGAAAGCCAGAACCACTGCTGAGGCTGGCTGTTAACTTTGAAAACTTGTGCCTGAGCTTGCTTTTCCCTTCTCCCTCCTGTTCCTTTTCCTTCCCATAACATGTATTTTTAGGCTGCGAAACACACTACTTCCCTCAACAAATTCTAGGCACTGCAGTTTTCCCCTCACAGGGTTACAATTTGCTGCAACCCTTAACAAACTACAGTGCCCAGATTCCTTTGAGGGAAATAATATATTACAGGCGTGCTTTAAAGATATAGTATATATGGTCTGCCAACAAAACTAAGCCTGCGAGAATCAACAGGCTTCAATTCTTGCCTGACTCATTGCTATTTTTCTAGAAAAAGAGATGCCAGAATTCACCATGAGTGCCTCCTTTGTTCTCTTAGAATGGCAATGGTGCCCACCTGAGAGGTGCAGGAACTGAGTTCCGGTGAGTTCCAGCTGGAAAAACCCCGTGACCTGACTCAATTTACAAAACAATAAACTTGATTTGTCTATGCATCCACTCCAAACTTCCATGCCTGTTAAATAATACTGGCTGCTACTGAGTTTATTAAGCTTTGCCACAGGAGACAGAAAAGTAGAACACAAACATACTTCTCACTGCAATTCTTACAACTGATCTCAAAATGGCCGCTGCCCCATGAGCTACCTTGCTGCACATACCCACTTACATAACATGTTGGTTCCTACTGTCATTACACCAGTTATCAAGGAAATAAATAAAATATTTACCAGTATTTAGCCTGCATATAGAAGAGCATGCAGGGCCCACTACAGTGCTATACTCACCAACTAGTCAAGGCAACCAGTACTTCCTGTTTCCAGCAAAAATGTGATTGGTTGTCCCTTGTGCCTATCACAAAGTCAAATGTCACCTCCCAAAATTATGCCACACCTGCCAATTTTCAGCTCCTAAAATTAGTATCTCCCTCCCTTCCCTGTCCTGCATCTACATGTGTCGCCTGCAATTTGCAAATTAACAGTCCCACAGGTGGAGATGTCTGAATTTAATAGAGGTTGCTGCCCCTTGCCACAGAGTAGAATAAAAGAACACACATCAGCACGTCAAAAGCCACATAATGGAAGGACTGGCCCCACTACAGCAAATAGTTCATTCTGCAAACGCTGCATTAGTGGCACTCAGCAGGCTAAGCAGTTATTTAAAAGATTAATATTCACATCTGCAGACTATGAAGTTGTCATTATCACACAGTTTTTTCCTATGGAGTTACAAGTTCTGTTGAGTCTAAGCAGTTCTCCATTCCTCAGCTGTTATGCATTTTTATTGTTCTGTGGGAACAAGCACACATACACACACTTCTCTGTAAATCACCACTTCATATAAATTGAGGCCATTAAGCTAATCTCCTGCTCATCATGAAACCTTTTCCTGTTTGATGGCCTATATTATTTTTATATGATATCATCAAGCAAATTATGTATTTTTAATCAGCTTGGTGGGGTTTTTTTCTTTTTTTGATAAAATTTGATATTCCAGACTTGAACGCAGGAGCATACCCTGTGTTACAATGATGCTACGGTACCCAATTTCCTCAGGAATCGTATGTTCTAATGACAAGACTGTGTTTATACATAACCACTTGGTTTGACAATACCTTTTTGCAGTCTCCTTTACTCTCCTCAGTTGTCCTGAGCATATGCAACAGGTATAGCTCCTGCTCATTTTAACTCCAATGCAGCCCCTCCAGATGTTGCTGAACTACAACTCCCATCATGCCTGACCATTAGCCATATTGGCTGGGGCTGACAAAAAAACATAGTCCAACATCTGGAGGGCCACAGGTTCTGCCCCACCCCCATTTTAGATGGCAAAGCAGAAATTGCAACAGTTTTAAGTTTTGGAAGCCTCATCTGTTGAACCTCTGGGTTATCATAAAGCTATTTAAGGTTACAGAAGCCTGACCAGAAAAAGGCAGCGACACTAATCCATACTTATCTTTTGCCTCACGCTTTCTAGGCACAAGTCTGCACTTTAAAGCTTCATGTCTGAGCACTTATTTTATGTTATTTTTGGTCTGCCACTCACCCCAGGAAAACTCACTCTTTACTGCCAAATTGGAACAAATGACAATTTTGAGTTTTCTGTGGATTACCATTTGCTTCAGTTCAACAGTAAAGAGTGGGTTGTTTTTTTATACTTTTGGCAGGGAGAGCACTAGGGGCAGGGGGAGCACTCAGACATGGTCAGTGCTTTTTTTCTGGGGGGGACGCAGGGGGATGCATACCCCTAAACATTTTGTGAATCTAAGTTTGGCCTTATTGAGGGAAAGTATTTCAATATGAGTAGGAAAATGAGAGTACCCCTAAACATTTTTTAGAAAAGAAGCACTGGACATGGTGCTTTAAAGCATGGGCCTATGCCTAGAAATGTGACACAAAATTAAGTTTGGATGAGCCCTAACTCTGCCTCCTAGGAACACCAAGGCCATAGCAATATGATTAGAGTGATGGAAAACTATACTGTTGCTTCAAAGCTTTTAAAGAGGCAGAAGGCCCACCCATCTTCTGTAATGCAGCCATTTTCTGTCAAGAGCTTACATAAAATCAGTTCCTAACAGAGGGATAACTAGCTCTGTCATGGCTGGTTCCAAATTTTATGGGAATTCCTCATTTATTAGATGGCTTAGAGCAGTCTATCTGCTCTAAGCCATCTGGGGTTGATGAGAGACATAGCCCAAAACATCTGGAGGACTCCATGCTGAGGAAAGAAGCAGCTCTTAAACTGAGTTTGCCCATCACTCTTTAAAAATCCCATTAAACGACACAGAATCATTTAGGAAGTCACTTTCCACTGCTAAGGTGCTTTTCATTATGTTGAGTGTTCAATGCCGGTCAACAAATATTATGCACTGTAGCGTATTTGGAATAGAGAATGGCAATGCAGAGGTATGATATTGCTCCTGGCAACAGAAAACATTTCCAGGAAACTGAGACTGCAATGAAATGTTATCAAATTATTGCTGCAATTGCCCTTGTTCATGGATGAGCAATGGGTCGAGACCAATACCCAAGAGGCCAACAGCCTGAGGGAGTAGAACAAAAGCATGTGGAAGTCAGTTCTTAATGCCCCAGAGTTGAAGAACAAAAGGAGTAGATAGAGCACTTGCAGCCGGTCCTCAGTCCTTAGCTTTGAATGCCAGGATGGAAAGCCTTCCTAGGTCACATTAGCTATCAAATGCAAGCTATATTAAAAGAGAGGTAACCCCAAAGAACATTTGAGGTTTCCCTGGCTGGAAACGGGTCCCCAAGGAGGTGACAAATGCTCAAAAGGAATTTGACACAAGGCAGAAAACAACCTTTTTTTAATGGCAAGGGATACTCCGATCGTCCAGGGATTTGCTCTAATGACAGTTTACTTTCCTTTAGCAAAGACAAACATGTCAAGCAACTCCAATGAGGTAAAAGGCTGCAGTGCAGAAAGAATTCAGCTACCAGAAATGGAAGGCACAAAAATTCCTCAAACCAGAAGGCAGCCTAAAGTCACTTCCAGACGAAGAATATACAGTATTGTCCTGGTTTGATTTCACACAATTTTCATTATATGTTACCATCAAGTGGTTGTTACCCCGATGATTCCTGTAGTTTTCCATCACTTTTCTCACTGCAGAAGGTCCAGATGATTTGTTGCCATTTGCTCCATTTAGCCGGTGTTGTTCTTCATAAGGAACCTACTGTACTTTCTTTGTGGCAGGTTATGAAGGTGTGCTCTTGTTGTGCAAAGGGTATATACTGGCACCTGCACAACAGCTCAACTGTCTGGAAGGGCCCTTTTTAATACTTTGTTCTCCCTCCATTACATCAGGCTTGATAAGTGTTTTCTTATGGTCTTACAGGAGTGTTTGTATTCTTTTAAAAAGCCCTGCCTGTTCTTCCAACTCTAGGAGATAATGAATTAAAATTTACCTTTAGGGTTGGTGGAGTCTACAGTGCTGTGGAGAATAGCTGCAACAATATTCAACTTCCCACTCATTTAGGTTGAAAGCCTAGACACTTACCTGGGAACAAGTCTCATTGAACAAAATAGGGTTTACTTTCAAGTAAACATGCGTGGGGGGGCGCAGGTGGCGCTGTGGGTTAAACCACAGAACCTAGGACTTGCCGATCAGGTTGGCAGTTTGAATCCCTGTGATGGGGTGAGCTCCTGTTGCTCAGTCCCAGATCCTGCCCACCTAGCAGCTCTAAAGCACGTCAAAGTGCAAGTAGATAAATAGATACCGCTCAGGCGGGAAGGTAAACGGGTGTTTCCATGCGCAGCTCTGGTTTGCCAGAAGCGGCTTAGTCATGCTGGCCACATGACCTGGAAGCTGTACGCCGGCTCCCTCGGCCAATAAAGCGAGATGAGCGCCACAACCCCAAAGTCGGCCACGACTGGACCTAATGGTCAGGGGTCCCTTTACCTTTACCTAAACAGGTGTGAGATTGCTGTGTTACTGTGCTGGTGCTAAGTGGGAAATGTGGCACTGCAAAAATGATTGCTTTCATGTGGTCTATGTTGTAAGTACTGTAGAATGAGTAGTTCGCAAATTGTAAAACAAGTAATGTCTGACTAAACGCTTAAAAAAACAACCACACACATACATTATTCTGATAAAAAGAGCCCTGCTGGATCAGGCCAGTGGCCCATCAAGCCCAGCATCCTGTTCTCACAATTGCCAACCAGATGCCAACAAGAACCCCATAAGCAAAAAACAGCATTCTCCTGATCTGTGATTCCCAGCAACTGTTTTTTAAGAAAACAGGGATTGTGGTGAGGAAGAGTACCAAGCAGCAACTCGGCTCCCTCAGCTGCCATGGCAGCTATAAAAAAAGACAAGTAGCATGCCAGGGATAATTACAGTTCTGGTCAGCTCACCTCATAAAGAATATTGTAGAATTAGAAAATGCTCAGAAACGGGCAGCCAAAATAACCAAAGGACTTTTTAGTTTAGAGAAAAGGCAACTAAGAGGTTACACAATAGTTTATAAAATTCTGCATGGACTGGAGAAAGTGGAGAGAGTATTTCTTTCTCTCTCTCTTTCTCACAAGACTAAAAATTGTGAACATCCAATGAAGCTGAATGCTGGAAGATTTGGGAAAAATAAAAAAAGTACTTCTTCACACAGCACATAGTTAAACTATGGAAATTGCTCCCCCACAGGAGGCAGTGGATGCAATTTGGACACCTTTAAGGGGACTGGACAAATTTATGGATACGGCAGTCAATGGCTACTAACCAGAATGGCTTGATTCTGCCCCCACTGTAGGGCCAATATGCTTCTGAATACCAGTTGCTGATAATCACAGGTGAGCAGAGCCGTTTGGCATCTGGTGAGAACTGGATTTGGGACTGGGTGGGCCTTTAGCCTCATCTGGCATTCTCCTCTTGGTGGTATACTGTAGTATAAACTCCACTCTTTATAGGATTTACAGGAAAGGTGGTTACAAAGGTTATATGTGTGTTGATATTACTATTAATAGTTTTATCATAATGCATAGGGCAACCACAATGAAGTGCACCATCTGCTATGGTGATGACTTAAGTCTGACAATAGCAGGCATCCATTATTTTTAACATCTTGATCTCCAGTCAAGGAATGAAATGGACTTTGGTCCCAACTTAGCCTATGGGACATGTAGGTAATAAACTGGTATTGTACATACCTATGTGCATATCTGTGCAACTCTACTAAATGCTTCTCATATAATTCATGCTTTAAGTTAACTATGTGGCGTTAACACCAACTTGGGAAAACATAGCAAAAAAAATAGCCTACTTGAACATGATAATTCTAGTGCACACCACTATTATTATGCTAACCCACAATTAGGAGAAAGATTCAAATTTGTGCAACTATTAGAAAGGTATTTTGAGAAAGAGAATTTTAGTTACAGCAGCTGCTCTACACATTATTCTTCTTTGGGCTACAGTGACCTCCAGTGTCTGATTTTAGATGGCACTTTCTAAGGCCAAAGGCTTTCATCATTATTTTAGCACCCATTTTTTCCAACTGCCACTTATATACAAGAAAATGAAAGGATTCTCACTGGAGATGCTATACCCTTGGAATTTTAGACTGATTGCTTTCTAATTGAGAGTTCTGGAGCATACATTTATCAGCTGTTGGTTCTAATTGCTACATGCCCTCAAAACCAGAAAATGAATTAGACACAAATACACAGATGTAAAAAAGTACCTGAAGTGACACGTGGGAGAAATCAAGGTAGAATACTTTAGGAACTGCACTGTGCAGCACCTCGGTTGTTCAGATGCGCACAAAAATTATATCAAGCAACTTATCTGCCACTCTGTACTATAAGTGATAGAAAAGTCAATCAAAAAGCGAAGGTAGCCATGTGGGCTGATAGGGGGGGAAATCCAAAATCCGTATTAGGAAAACACCTTTATTAGGCCAACCAAAATGTCACAAAATAGCATCCAAAATTTCTAAGGCTAAATGGTAAACAAAGCAACCAAGGAGAAGAGGACAGAGTTTGAGTAGTGGTAAAACCATTAAATCTGCACCTTATAAATGTCTTGATAGAATGTGGGACGTTGTGGTAGACATCAAAAATTTTATATTTATAACCTACAGCATTTTAGGTCTAATGTTCCTGTGGGAATTTCAATATCAGTGATGCATAGAAGAGCTTAGTACATAAATTGCATTTTTTTCAAAATGTGTGATACTTCCCTTCCATCCCCTCCAGACATAATGTTGCTAAAGGAGTGGAGCAGTAGCCTCTAAAACATATGGGAAAGAATCAGATCCTCCTCCACATGGAAGAGATTTTTTTCTGGAAAATAATACCAGTCTTTTGTAATTCTCTACATTCCCTTAAAAAAATCCCACCTTTCTGACAGAATCCTACGCCCATCCTTCTAAGTCCTAACCTAGCAACAATAAATCATTAGGACAGCAAAGCTCATATTGTCCATTCCCCTGCCAGTCCCAGGATTAGTGGGACACAGAACTATTTTCATCACTGAAAGAGAAAGAGGCTGCATTAGGATGCAACACTACACCATGCTTTAGCATTCCAAAAATGGGCCTTCTCCTGAATTGGGAATGGGGTGGGGATACATCCAAGTAAACATGCCCAGGATTGCACTGTTGGTGGTGGCATTTTCACATTAGGGAAACTTAAGTAAAGTCACTTGCAGCTTAGTTGGCCTGCAGCCCTAACTAAAACAGGTTTACTGGGAAGTCAGCCCATTAAACACAGAAGGAATTGCTTCCAAATAAACTCACAAAGGATCAAAGTATTGGGTGATTTATACCATCCACCACCCTGGATATTTGTCTTACAGAGGTGGGGGACCTTTGGCCCTCCAGATGTTACTAGATGCTATGCCATCACCCCTGACCATTGACCATACTGTCCAGGGCCAACGAAAGTTGGCTTTTCAGATTTCAGGCTGCAACAAATCCTTTTAGGAAAAAGAAACACACAATGGCCAATTCCTCATCTCTGGAATTACATAAATCTGCTCAAGTCTGTCTTCCACCTACAAAGGAAGCTGTGTTTTGCCTAAGGATGGAGAAAGACCTGGGTTGTGCAACATGTTCATGCACACCAGCATTTTAGCTAACTAAAATTGGAACCATAGGACAGTACTGAGAAAAAATGCATCTTGGTAACCAATTTACATGACAAACTACCACTTTTAAACAGCTTGTGTGATACTTCATATTAGTGACCACGTACATCCAGGTCAGGGACGCGGGTGGCACTGTGGGTAAAAGCCTCAGCGCCTAGGGCTTGCTGATCGAAAGGTCGGCGGTTCGAATCCCCGCGGCGGGGTGCGCTCCCGTTGCTCGGTCCCAGCGCCTGCCAACCTAGCAGTTCGAAAGCACCCCCAGGTGCAAGTAAATAAATAGGGACCGCTTACCAACGGGAAGGTAAACGGCGTTCCGTGTGCTGCGCTGGCTCGCCAGATGCAGCTTTGTCACGCTGGTCACGTGACCCAGAAGTGTCTCTGGACAGCGCTGGCCCCCGGCCTATAGAGTGAGATGGGCGCACAACCCTAGAGTCTGTCAAGACTGGCCCGTACGGGCAGGGGTACCTTTACCTTTACCTTACATCCAGGTCACCATCTGAGCACCATTTGATGGGAAAGCGAGACACAAATTTAACAAAGAGGGGCACAGCAGGCCTGTGCTTGTCAACTACAACAAAAATCTTCAACAGATTTTTCTTTCCAAGTAAAATAAATTTGCCCATGCCATGTGATAAGCAGTGCATCAAAAATCTCAGAATTTTTTTCAAGTGACTATCCATTGCCTGCTTAGATACATGCAGGTTTTGACCTCTTGGTGTACACATGCAGAAAATTATTAGGATTATTGACAGTGAGTCATTAATAATTCTATGGTTGTATTATTTTGGTCCTACATTTCCATTCACTGTAACTCCAAAACATTGGCAGAATCAGAATAAACACAAGATCAATTTCATTTGCTCAACTTTATTCCACCCAAATTCAATGTCCTTGAGAACAGATTTGACCTTTTGTTGTTAACATTTTTGTGGAGTTTAAATTCTAGGTTTTGCTTCTGAAAAGAAACAGAATTGCATCACAAACCAGTTGGTCCCATGGCAGTAACCAGCAATTATAAGGAACTAACCAATAGATGTAATGTGAAGAATGATCTTAACGAAGGCTGCAATCCTACATACACTTACTTTCAAATAAGTTCCAATGAACAATGTGGGACTTGCTTTTGAGTAAGCGTGCACAGGAGTGGGCTGTAAACCTAAGAAATATTAGCATGTTGAATTAATTTGTATATGGATCACAGCTACATTTTCTCAGTCTATTTTATTATTATTTTTTTAAAAAATCTGTGCATTCAAGGTGAACGCTGTTACAATCTTCTGTTAGCCTTAAAACATATTTTATACAATATATTTACAAATTAAACTTCTTAGCATTATCACTACTGTACAAGAAAATAAAATAATTTAGGATCTCATGAAAAAAGGTTTACTGTATTCTTATGCCCACAATATATTAATCAAACAATGAGCTCATTCCACCATAGTTTGGTATTGCGTGCATGAGCAAAACCATCCCTGGGACTTGCAGGGTCCCTCCTCCCCTTGCATGGTCAGCCCCAGTATGCAGAGGGAGTGCCGGAACACCAAGCCTGCACAGTCCCTGCCAGAACCAAGTGCCTTGGACAGGATCTCCAGCCAGTCTTACTAGCAGCTGGCTAGCAGCTGTCAGAAAAGCTTCACCCAATGGGATTTCACCCTTACCGGCTTCCAGTTGTCATAGTATCCAACCATGGCAAACTAGGATATGCTTCAAACATAAGTCTTGCTCAACCCTGAACAGGAAATCATCGTCCATGTAGGAGACACAGGGCTGTGCATGCCCCACACTCCCCAGTGTCCCCGTGTGCATCTTCTCCACCCTCTCTGTTACTGATCTTCCTGTTTATCTGAACCCTTTTACCACTGCTGACTTGAGCAGAAGTAGAAACCTCTGTGCAATCAGGAACCATGAGGGGGCTTCTATTTGTATTCAAGGAAATGCTGGTAAAAGCCCCTTTTGGACCTCTCCTGATAAACACAGGAAGACTGAAGACTGAGCAAGAAGGGCCAGGACAGCATGTGACCTTGTGTCTCCTACATGAGTGGACGTTTCCTGTTCAGGCATAACACCTGAGCAGGGCTACAGTTTGCCCATAAACCGGGATCAAGCTGTGTCTTGAGACTGGGAAGTCAGTTTATGGAAGTCGGTTTAGAAACTATGCCAAACAAGGAGAGAAATACATGTACATATCTTGAAGCTAAGCTTGCTCATACACATGACACCAAACCATGGTTTCACACTGCATATAAAATGTCACCACTATATTTTTCAGCAATGTAACATTTTGGCAAAGCTACCATTCTTACAGGGTTGACAGGCTATTCCCTTTTACTATTAAATAAACCCTATGAATGGCATGGCAATGTAACAGAATGGCTATATTTAAATAGTGCCATTTAAGAAAATTCAAAATTTCATATCATTCCAGATGCTTCAAATGTGAATCAACTTTAATTACACTGTATTATTCTATCTATTTGTCCTATGAGTTAATAGGGAGAATGAGCTAATAAGCTTTTGGACAAATATAGCTGCTCGGTTGATAAGCTTCCTAAAACAGAGTATTTTAAGTCATTGGTGTACAAATAGTGCAAAAAGTAAAACTTCAGGTTTTTGTGGCTTAGTTGTGCAATGCTAGCCACAAGTCACAGTTAAATATAAAATAGGATCCAGTTGAAATGAATTACTCGGGCAAACTTGCACACAAAATTCAAACAGTGCTAAAAGACTGGGGCAATAAAAATAGCTTCATTTCAGATTTTTGTAGAAACAGTGCAGTGCTGAATACCCCTGAAGATAATGCTTTTGGCTATATCCAAAAGCTGACTGTCTGGAAAACTCCTTTAATTTTTGAGACTGAAAAACAGGTTGAAGATATGCTACAAAAGCAATTTAAATGAGAAAGATGTGGGGGGGAGGTACCACAGGCATACTAGCAGTTTCCCTTTGATGTCATGCCAAATTACTTTTTAAGAATTTAAGTGCATGTGGGAGTTCTGTGATGGGAGTTTCTGGGAAAGGATGTCTGCAAAGCATTTGTCGTCACATGCAGAGCATGGATACGTCCAGGTTTTGGGCCTACACACAACTCTTATGGAAGGTCATCTTATCATCTCATCACAACCTGATAAGCCAGCTTCTGGATAAAAGATTGCCCAACATTTTAATCAAAGAGTATTTGTAGAAACAGATTTGTGAATTTTGGGTATCTCCGAACAGTGTCCAAGGAAAACCTGTAAAAGGAGTTAGAGGACAACCAAACCTATTACCATTATTCTGACTTTTAACATTTAGCTTCAGAACATTATGTTCAAGTATGAGCAAGACATACACACACAGAGAGAAATACAGCAGTATTAGTACACAAATACTTTGTGCACTGTTTGTCCAGCCCAACAGTACAGAAAGTGAATCACAACTCAAAGTTCAAAAAAATGAATTCAATTGTTTTCTTATAAATCCAGCAATTTATGATGTTACTAATCATGGAAGAAACAATACACTGTTAATTAACATGAAGTCCAGAAGTGTCCTTTTCATAAAATCAAGAGAAGCCAAAGGATTTTCCCTTTTTCAAGCAAAAATATACAAGACACCATACACAAATGGCTGATGAGAACTGGGCCCATGGTGTAAGGATTAGACACTAATCATAATGCCACCAAAATCAAAGGAGATCCAAGAACTCTTCAGAATTATCTTACAAAAATAGCTGCATTAAAATTTGCAAGCTCTAAAGCTATTATTTTCAAGCCCTATAAAAAGGCAACCTTTGAAAGGATCTGGCTCAGATTATCGGCACAGTACAAATATTAAAAATGCACACACAATGCGAGATATTTCAAATGCGCTTTAAAGGGACTATTGCAGCTGGTTTATTATGTAGCAATAATATTGCATAGCTGGAAAATGAGGTCACTTGACTTGCACTAACTGCAAGTTTACACACAGAAGTGACATATACCATTTGCTAGTGGGTAAGTGACTGAGAGCAAGGCCATTTACGGTCCTGACTATTTATGAACACTAAGTACACCATTTTTTAAAATAATTTTTCCAGATGTTATATGGACATAGGTGCCATTTCGGAATGAATCATAGATCAGGTTAACTCAAAAATTCACTGCCTGTCAAGGGATATATATGACTGGCATACAGTTTTGGTGGTGAATGGAACAGAAAAATCAATTCATGTTCAGTACATGTGCATCTGTGTCTGACAACTGAGTCATCAAATGAGGTAAGGGTGTACGCTTAGTGTTTAAATGATCCTTCAACCAATATGAGAGGGCAAGATTTCATAGTATTTAAATGGCCTTAAGTGGTTTACACATTGCATTTCTTCATGTGGAGGAATAATCTTCTGCCTATTGAGTGATCTACATCTGCTATTGTGATTGAACAATGCAATCCTTTACATGTCTATTCAGAAGTAAGTTCCACTGAATTCAATGGAGATTGACCCCAGGTAAGTTGATATAGGGCTGTGGGGCCCTAAAGACTGCTGCTATCCTGTGGAGAATCTCCACAGTGCTCTCAAGACATTCAAAGCAAAGCTGCAGCCCAGAACTCATACAGAGAGAGACCAGGGGCTATATGTAGCAGACTAATATCCTCCACACAGAAAGAATAATGCATAAACAGGTCCTGAAGAGAGATTTCCTACCCCAACCCTGGAAGCAATTCATTGCCTGCTGGCTGCATTCTCAGAAATACAACACATGTAGAAACTGCCATGTTCCTCTTTAAAATACTGAAGTGTTGAGCAAGCAACAACCAGGCTCACTTGTGTTTTGAAGAGCGATTATGCACCCTGTATGTGCATTCTTCAGGTGTATTTTGTACTATAGTATCTGTGCCAGAGTACAAAAGGTATCATGAGATGTAGCACTCTTTTAAGGAAATTGTTTTGTTTTTATATCCAATTAAGGGATGAAAGCCCTTGTCAAAAATAATAGAATCTTACCTTATTAACACTTGTTCAAAGCAAGTTCAGTTATATATTCTACTTCACTCTTGATATTTGGCAAGTGATAAAAAAGCTGTCTATCTACATAAGAAATAAGTTAAGTGCTCTTCGGGAAACACACACACACACACACCACACCTTTAAAATGCACGTAGTAAGGGGTTGGAAGAGAAAGGAAGGATATACTTCCTTGTTAATATTTTGTGGCTGCTTTCCTTAGCATTACACATCCCAGAAGAGCTGGAAGTTACAAGAACACAAACTTTCTAGGAACAAAATAATTCTCAGTTGGATGATGACAGTGAACATAACAGAAGCTTGGAGGTTTTTAGATTTGAGTTGAGCCAATTAGCTAGACCCAGCTTTCCTTATTTCTCCCAAATCACTTCTCTCTCCCTTTTGGACTAAATGCTTAAAAGTTTGAGTAACTTCAGTACACAGCTATAATAAGGAAAACAAAGTGAATATTTGAAAGGTCAGCAGTTAGGGAAAATGGCTGGAAGAATTACTGTGCAATCCTATACATGTCTACTCAAAAGTAAGCTCCACTGAGTTCAACAGAGCTTACTCCAAGGTGATTATGCACAGCACTGCAGCCTTAACCAACTACATGATGGAAGCATAAGACACTTAAAGGTTTTTAAATCTTGGGCAACTTGTGGTATTTGGCCAAATGCAAGAGGTATATAGGGATGGGTGAAGTTCTAATCTAAACTTGGCTAGCATTTACTAGATTATTATTCTGGATAGAAGGCTGACCACCCAGTTTGTTATTCAGAAGTCCCATTTGCTCATGACAATATCATCCATGTACAATATCATCCTACAAGTCACTGTGCTGGATGCAGCTCTCCAAACCTGGCTGTAACTCTGGAATCCACTACTGAATCCCACCACCACCCTGGAAATCTGATGACATCCATAGTTGATGAATTTAAAATACTCTTCCATGGTACCCAGATGCCCTTTAAAAAGCAGGGTTTTCTGAATTGTTGGCAATAGTCAAGGCGACACTATGTTATGACTCCCCACCCCTTTCAATGTCAACTGTGGTCAGAATTAATTTTGAAATACCTTCCCCACCACCACCAGCCCGCCTCTAGAACCTTACATTTTAGTGCGGTTACTAGTCTTTGGGTAGTTCACGTATGCTTTTACCCTAGAGAAAGACGCTGCTTGGCTCATCCGACCACATATACAAAATAGGTTTGAAAATTGCAGTTCTACATCTAGGATAAAATTCATACAATGTACACATCCAGTGTCCTAAATAACACATTTACAGTAGTCAACTAGTGTATGTACATATGATGGGGGCAATATACCATATGAGCTAGAGCTCCCAGTCTTATTTATTCAGGTCTGGTTTCCTTTCGAGGGTTGTTTCAAAAATTCCAGTCTCAGTAGTAGATTTGTCTAAAAGGTTTGGTAAGTAAATAGAACATATTATAGTGTATATGCTACTTCAGCAGTGAAGTATTCCAAAATACCCTTTCTCCTGGTTACATGCCATAGAGATACATTTCCTTACTCTTGAGAAATTCAGTTCAAACTCAAGTCTTGGCTGTACATAAAACAGCAGATTGCACCAAGAAAAACAAGCAACACCTCATTTCTGGAACATGTTCACAGCAAGACTTTTCACGTTGCTGCACTGCCCATTGCTGAGCAGAGGTTGATGGTCTTAGCACATACTTGTCATGCTAGGAGTGCAATATTATAGTGTGGCAGTTAAGAGTCAGATTTCAGCATCTTCCAAAACCCACCAAGCAAGATGGTCATTATTTCTTGTCTTTGCAGTCACTTGAACATGTGTCACAATGGTTTATGGATCACAGCTACACCTACAAGGGAAGAAGGTACACAATGCATTAAATTTATATACCGCCCTTGATCCACAGATCTCAGGGTGGTTCACAACATAAAATTACACAAAACCACAAAATACATAGTAAAAATAAGAAAAAGAAACCAATAATCCCCCCTCCCACAGCACAATCAGCCCAAGGCTCAGTTGAAGAGAAACATTTTTACCTGCCACCTATAGGTATATAATGAAGGCACCAGGCAAGCCTCCCTGGGGAGAACATTCAACAAATGGGGAGCCACTGATGAAAAGGCCCATTCTCTTGTTGCCACTCTCCAGACCTCTTGTGAAGGAGGCACACAAAGAAGGGCCTCAGAGGATGATCTTAGAGTCTGGGAGGTTCATATGGAGAGAGGCAGTCCTTGAGGGATTTTGGTACTGTGCCATTTAAGGCTTTAAAGGTCAAATTCAGCAAAACTAGGCCTGGAAACCAATTGGCAGCCAGTGGAGTCAGGCCAGAATTGGTGTAGTATGCTGAAACTGTCTTGCCCCTGTGAGCAACCTGGTCGCCAAATCCTGTGCTAGTTAAAGTTTCCAAACCATCTTCAGAGCCAGTCCTATGTATAACATGTTGCAATAATATAACCTAGAGGTTACCAGAGCACACACAGCAGCAGTTAGGCTGTTCCTGTCCAGACAGGGGTGTAGCTGGGCCACCATACAGATGATTTTTGGAGTAACCTTTTACCTACACTGGGACTTATAGAAAGCTCAAGATACACTTGGGGTACTGACTCTTTTCTGACCATTGACTCTCTTGCCTGTAATGGCCACACAGCAGGTAGAATTTAAACAGATGCATCTTTGCCAGATGAACATCAGAGATGGGGAAATACCATCTGTCAGGGCCGCCTCAGGTCCCAGCTCCCCTGACACCATCTGTTGGATTTCTGCATGCCAAGCAGTAGCACGCTAAAGGCCCAGGTTCCTTTTAGGAGTGAAATTTCTCTACCAGGAAAAAGTGTTGCTAACCCTGCCAAGAATCACAGCAGAGATTTGAAAAATGCGGATTCATCCAGCGCATCCTTCTGCTTCCACCTGGTTCAATGTACTGCTTACCTGCATAACTTCTTCCAGTGCTCATGTTTGTTGGTAATAATGTCCATTTATCAGTGACAGGATTATAGTATTCTACAGATGCCAAATTGCAAGAGCCATCATCTCCTCCAACCACATAGAGAAGACCATTCACTGAACACACACCTATGGAGGAAAAAATGTGTTATTTTAAGTTTACATGGTTGTGGCATGGCGGGGGAAGGAACTCTAGCATTCAGGCTGGATTCACTCCAGATCCTTCAGGAAGCCCCAAACAAAGTATGAACCATTGACACTGAAATTGTGCACTCTAATTGTACTCAGAAATAATATATCATTAATTTTCATAAGCTGTTCTTGTGGCAAGGTGAGAGGTATTTTTATAATATTTAGGAATGTGCAAAAAAATAGAAGTATTCATTTTTGTTAATAAGCACATAATTTGTTCAATGTTATCACATTCACTTCCTAACTCACATCAATGAGGGGGTTTAGTGGGGATAGGGGGTTACTTTGTTTTTTTCTGTCACCTGAGTACAGGCAGTTGCCATTTCCCTTCCCCAGAACACTCCAGTATCAAAAGGGATTTGCGGAAAATAACATGAGGGATATTTGGAGATAGCACCAAGAGGACATCTGGAAAAAAGCATCCCTGAATTTATTATGTATTTGGACATCTCTTTAGATATCGTAACCAAATTTTGCATGACTGTTCCTGAGATCAAGGAGGTTTCCATCTATGTTTGGATACAATTGTACACCATTTTGAAACAAGATGGCAGAATGAATCTTTTTAAAACAGCACTCATTTTAACCACTGATTTAAGAACTACACTGATTTTTCTTGTTTCACAGAACTCCTAAGCAATGCCAGTTACAAAGCAGCTAGCGACTGGCATATAGATAACAAAGACCTTTTCCTGTTGGAATTTGTTTTGTAGCAAATGAAAAATGAACCAAATTGGCACCATTTGCAACCCTGTTTAAAGCACTGGGCACAATTCAAGGACTGGGCAGCAGGAACAGCGAGGATAGGGGATTAGGAGCTGTGCAGGGTATAAAAGGCTCAGCCTTCTGACCACTGGAGGTTGTATGAAATAAATGAAATACGCTTTTATTTCTATGCTTTCTGATGACAAAATCTGTTCCATACTTGAATGCTCTCTGTGAAGTCACGAGAGCAAGAAAAATGTTCTTGTAAAGAGAACAGAGGTTCTGGAATTCATAAACTCCCTCTGCTAAATTCCATATTCCTTGTTACTCACTACAGACACAGATGCATAAAACACATGCACCTTCAAGACTTCCTGTCTTATAAAGTATGGAGATGTAATTTTAAATACCTAAAACAGCAAGAGACAGCTTATAAAACTGAGGTTTTTGCTTCAGTATTACTGTAAGCTTCTTTGAAAGGTTGCTTATACCTGAAGGGTATATAGAAGTGTGCTGTGGTTGCTTGCAGGAAATTACAAAATAAATACCTGCATTTCTTCTACACATATTCATATCTGCCACTTGTTTCCACGTATTTGTTCCAGGATCATATACTTCCACACTTTTCCTCACCAAAGGGCCATCATGTCCCCCAGTAGCATACAGCTGTCCACTAAGTACACCAACACCTGCAAAACAAGAGGACAGCAACTCAGAGCATAAGTTACTCCTAAGCAGCTGTTTCATTCAACAACCCCATCATAAAAGTGAGCTAAATATTCAATGTAGGAGTTTTCCTCACATGTCCCAACACTGGGATCCCTCGCAGAAAGACAGTTCGTACCCTTATAAAGGCCTTTGCAGAGAATGCCTAAGACCCGAGGCAGATGTCTTGTTAGAATAAAGTTATAAACACAAACAGAAAAGTAGCCGGTCCCTGGTGGGCCCCCACAGCCAGCTTAGCCCTCCGAGGCCTGGAGCAAGTGTGCCTGGCCTGCCCCCAATCCTGCACAGGCCTGCCTTTATACTACGATTACAGGCCTAGCATTTGAGAACAGTATGACAATACCGTATCATTAGTCTTATCACACATTGCCAGGAAAGGGGCAACATACATGGTACTATTTTCAAGAGCTCTTGTAACAAACTTAGGTACTGCTCAGGGATTTAGCTGTGACAACTACACAAGGAGGAAAAACAGCACAGTAAGGTACCTGCACCACTGCGGCGAGTACTCATATCCGACACATATGCCCACTCATTTGTAGCTGGATTATACTGTTCAACAGTACTAAGGCACTGACGTGATGCTCCATCGTAACCACCAACAGCATAGAGTTTACCTAGAAAAAATGAATATGCAGCACTGAACATCAACAGGAGCAGTTGGCAATATTAGCACTTCAGAACATTTCATCATTGATCATTTGTACCATGTCAATTACACAATCCTTTTGTGATAGCCGCCTACTAGCTTGATAAATACCTGTACGTATAACATGTTTCAGTTGACCTTCATCATGTATAGCAAATGCTCAGATCAACAAACACTTGCTAAGTGAGATGTTCTCAAGGACAGTTCGCTGCAGAAGGTTGTTCCATTATTTGCCATGTTACAAAACGGGTGAAAATGTACTTCTCCCTGGTCCAGTGCAGATCTCTTTAAAACCCTGCTGTTTCTACCAAAGTTTCATTTGGGGAGAAGACCTTTTCGGCCATCCATATTTAAAAATCCAACAAAAAACCTCTGGAAATAGGGAAAGCGTCATACCAAGCTTCCACAGTGAAATACAGAGAACCATTTAAAAGGGAAAATACTTAGGTAAGGATAGTTGGGATGACTTCTCTGAGGGCACAGAAAAAAGGAAGTTTAAAATCATTGTCAGAACTTACAGAGTATGAAAAATTCCCAAATTCCTGACACACCTTGCACATCTCCCCGCTTCAGAAGATGTGAAACATCTACTTCCCACAAGATGGAGACACAGAGCCACGGAAAAAGCCATTGATAGCCCTTCCAGTTCTCTTCACACTGAGTGTAACGAAGTAGCTCTCACTCAGTTCATTAAATTTTGTATTGTGAATAATAATAATTTTATTATTTATACCCCATCCATCTGGGTTTCCACAGCCACTCTGATTGGCGGATCATATTGAGTGGCACATGGAAAACCAGTGTAAGGCAGGAGGGGGGAATCTGGGGTCCAGGGACTCAAGGACCCTAAATGGCCCTCAGGATTCTTCCTAGGCCACATCTGCTGCTAGCCCTACTCTGCACCCACTCAAAATGCATTTGTCAAGGTGGAATTTTTCCTTAAACTGTGACAATGCCTCTTGCTTGCCTGGATGGAGAGATATGGGGGTGTAAGGAGAAAAATCTGGAAAGGTAAGGGTCACATCTATTGCCCAACCTACCAGTAGCATACAGCCCCCCCCCCAAGATAGTCCATAAGAATGTGGTGCTTGGCATTGGGCTGAAAAATATTCCTGACTCCTGGTTTAGGACCTAGGCAGAACTGTGAGACTGACATTGCTGAAACTTACAGAATTCAGTGATTTTATGGGTGAGGCATACTCGGCATCAGTGCAGACTAGACAGACTAGTTTTGTCCCTCCTCCCAGTGCCTTGATACCTGCCAGGCCAGATGACAAAACACTAAGATAAACTTCCCAATGCAGTAGAGAAGGGGGGGACCCCACAACTTAACAACTAAGCGTGTCTCAATCACTACTGTACTCAAGCCTGTTCCCATTCAAGATGGGAGAGTGATTTTTGGAACACGCAGTGTAGTCCGACAATGTTAACTGCCTTAATTTTTTGTCTTTAAAAAAGTGCTTGCTGCTAGGCTATCACACTTAACTGTGCTGCTGCGGCCAATACAGCAGTTTGCTTTTACCTTCCACGACCCCAACTCCAACGCTGCTTCTTCTTGTGTTCATAGGTGCCACAAAAAACCACTCATTGGTCTTATAGTTATATGCTTCCACAGATGCAAGACCTATTTTTGAAAATAATATTAAGGCAAGTTTTCTACAACCTTAATTTAGCAGAGTAAAATCCCTCCTTTGTCACAGTTACCATCCTGACTTAATTTTTCCAGGCAATACTTTTGTCTTAATCTTTCCAAGACAAAAAGGGGAAAGGAAGCAGGCTGAGACTACTTCAGGATCAGGAACTGGACACTAAACCCAATACTAATAATTTTACACTGAGAATCTGTATCTCAAAATACCACCCCAGTTCTCATCACTTGTGATTATTCAACAACCATGCACTAAAAAAATGACTGGGAAGTGCAACCCACCCAATATTTTTTTCCATCCACTGCAGAAAACTACGCCAGACATAATAAAACAGGTTGTAACAAAGGTTTTTGTTTTGTTGTTTTATAAAGAAGAAGATTTGAAATGTAGCATCAGGAGCACTGAATTCAAAGGAAGTTCTACAGTTCTTGTAAAGTGTTTAAGAGCGAAGATATGAACAGCATTCACCCAGTTTTGTTTGTTTAGCAACCTACCTGTGCTTCCATCAAATCCACCAACAGCATAGAGGAGTTCATTTAGCACAGCTGCCCCTAAAGTGCTTCGTCTTTCTTGCATGCTGGCTATTGATGTCCACAAGTCTTTCACTCCATCATATACATCTACTGTTCGGACTCGTAAAGAGCCATTAAAACCTCCCACAGCATAGACTTTGCCTGCCATGAATACCACCCCTGTTAAAAACAAATTGGGAGACAGAAAAATGGAAGGCAGGTCACGCCTATAGGACAATTATTTTCTTTCTCTTTTTCCTACCAGAACTTCAGGAAGGTCACCAAGCAATATTCCAGTATGGTAACAACTACATATGGAACCTGTAAAGTTTGAATGCTGCTTGTTTCGTGAATCAAGTCTATGAGAGGGTAAGCCTGGCATTGGCATGGAATCTCTCTATTCAATGATCCATGGGAAAAGCAAGCTTTCAAATGTTATGGCCTCATATGGCACCATTACCATAGTGACGCATTTCACTATTTCATACATTACATAAAAAAGGCTGGGTTTGCCAACAAATGTACGCTCAAACAAGGGGAATAGAGCACAATATCTGAAATCACGTTTGTTGCACTCATGCTATGTATGTTCAGCTTACACAAAAATATTGATATGTGAAATGGCTCTTGCTGGCTGCTGAAGTACATGAGACTGTTATTACTGGGTGGAATTCAACAGAGCGCTGAGGAGATTGTTCTATCAAAACAAGCATAACTGCCTGCCAACTAACATAGCAAAAGCTGCCGAGAGACCAAGCAGAATCAATGGGGTTGCACTCCCCCTGTCTCTCTCCCAACAAAGGCCATCATACAGGGTGACAGAGATATGTTCCATGCCAAAACCAGGCCTAAAAACCAACTGAAATGGATCTAGAAAATCAGTCTCATCCAAGAGAGCCTGGCTCTGTTAACAGAGAAGGGCTAACTCTAATGTTTTACTTTAGCCTAAAATTCAACTGAATATATAAAATCCGTCCTAAATAATTTTTGTGATTATGAATGAGGCTATTTTTTTTTAATAGGGAAAATATTTACCTGCTCTACATCTCCGAGAAGGAAGTTCAGCAACTTGATCCCATCGCTCCTCCTCAAAATCATAACACTCTACACTCCGAATGGCTTTAGGTGCTTGGCCACCAACCACCATCATTACCTTGGTAGGAAGGGAGAAAAGTTATCATGAGAGCATTTTCAACAGCAAACAGAAATCCTTGATCTTATTTGGGGCCTTCAATGGCAATAGGACACCATCAGCTATGTAAGAACTCACCCAAGAAAAAAAAGCAGAGTTTACTTCAGATGCATGAGAAGTTGGCATTTGAATGATATTGAACTTGGAAGTACAGTCAATACATTATTGGATAAAATACTGATTGAAGCCTTTGGGCAAAGCCTATGTACTCTAGCTTTCACAGATTATCTAGCTTCCTTTGCAAAAGGTAATTAGTTCAGATCCCAGAAGAGCTACATTTTAATAAAAGCATGTGATAACAGCCTAGCAATGATATGAAAATTCTAAGAACAATGGAAACGCCGGTGGTGCTTAGTATCAAGAGAGACTAGTTTCAACAAAGGCAGATTATAATTCCCATGATAATGAGGGGGAGGGGGAATTACTTGAACAAGCATTTAATGGCTCTGTGTTTGCTTAGATTATATATACATACACCATGCTTTTTTTCTTAAAAAATGTTTAGGGGTACACTCATTTTTCTACTCATATTGAAATACTGCCCCTCAATGAGGCCAAACTTAGATCCATAAAATGTTTAGGCGTATGCATAACCTTGCGTCCCCACAGGCAAAAAAGCACTGTACACACACACACACACACACACACACTGTGTATGTGTGCATAAACCTAGCTGCATTCAAAATGGCAAAGTTTTCAAAACACATGCACATACTAAAACCATAGTGCTCCTTTACTGGCTGTTTGCTTTGAGAACCACTTTAACCCAACATCCCAACACCATCTGGGATATAACAACACACAACAACAGAGCAACCTTTCCCTTTTTGCTTCCTTTGCACCATGAAAATCACACAATGCCTTTGACTGGCATTTCTCCATGCAGTAGTGTGACAGAGCCAAGTTTATGGAACAGTGGCTGTTTGCAATGGGTTTTGAATCAGCTTTAATAGAAAAACTAGAATAGGAGTAGCAGTAGTTGTCAAAACATGAAACCGCAACATTTCTCTGTTTGGTAAGAAATTATTCTAGCAATGGCGTAAGAGGACTGTTGGTTTGCTAATAAACATCTTCCATGGGTTGATTCACATATGTCCCAGTCAAAAAACAAAAACAAAAAATTTACCACCATTACCACCTATAGGAACTTCAGCAAAGTTGAACCATTTACCCAGGTCAAAGTGGGAAGTCTCTTTCCAACATGCTGACAATTTAATGGACATTCATGTGTGCAAAAGGGCAGTGAATACTGTGTCTGTATACACCCAATCCTCCTCCAAGGGGGAATGATCATGCAATTCTAACCACTGTGCACCATCATCTTGGGTATTTCAGCAAGAAAAAAATAGCTTACCTTTGGCAGACTGACTGGGGTCCTTGGTTTTGTTCTAGGATTCTTTATCAACTGCCGTTGATCCAGAGGAAGCAAGTGGTATTTCATGGCCTCAATAAGGAAATCTTTACATGTGTTATTGTTCTTGATTAAAGCTTCTTCTTCAACTGTCTGAAGACACCAACAAAGATATTAGTACAATGGCTATTATCAGACTTCTTAAAAAGTGTCACTAGCAGGCCGCTGTAATGCTCATTCATGATTTCAGTGTAGCAGTAGAAATAAAACCCCAAACTGCTTCTTCCACATCATTATCCCATTCCCCTATTTCACTCACTATAATATTATCTACTTCAACTGTGCAGTAATGCTTGTGTTCTGTTAAACTGTGCAAGCTTAGTATAAATGTTTTGATTAGTGCATAACTACAGCAATCCCATCTTAAAATATTTACAACACTACTTAATACAAGCTCCAGAAGACAAGGAACTATGAGATCCTATAACTTGGGAGGCCAAAGCTTTGAGATATAACACACACACACACACACACACACACACACACACACACACACACACCACAGTGGCAGCAATCCAAAACCTCACATGTTTGGGGCTCAAGTCACAATCCAGAAAAGACAGAGTTTCACAAATGCATAGGGCTCCTTCTCCTTTAGAAGTCAACAATGCAAAAGGTTGTGTTTTGAATGTTCAGCTGCATAATTGAACTGTGACTAAGATTAATTTGCACTAGCAGTTCCAGACATAGTATTTTAAGGAATCAAAACATTCACACAACTTCAGAAACCGACAGTAATGAAACGACAAGGAGATATGCATGCTTGTGTGTCAGCAGCTCCAATCCCCAGGTTCTTTTTAAAAATTTGGAATCTTTTTTTAAAAGAAGAAAAAAACACAGTTCTGTGAAAAGAAAAGCTTGGAAATAACTATAGTGCGCATGTAGATACTAAACAAAGAGAATGGCCATCTTCGCATAAACTGGCAGTACTTGTCTCCAGTGCTTCCCCACTTGATCTATCAGTGAAGCAAGCTCAACAATGTACCTGCTAAATACAAATATCCCAAATTTCTATATTATCAGGACACAAAAGTGACAGCTTTACACTGCACCAGTTTTTATGGACAAGGTTAGCTCTCATTCTCTGCCCAGCAGAACCTTCAAGTGAAAAGGAGATTCAGAACATGTTTATCTGCTAGGATGGCACACACATAATTATGAAGGCTATCCAAGGTTCTTTTGATTGATGGCAAGCCACAAACAAGCAGCCCAAGCGTATATTATTAAACTTTTAGTGCTGTAGATATTAGAAGAACACTAACCTGTACAAGGTAATCTCTGGGCAAGAGAGGGAGGCGGACATGTTCCATCAACTTAGCCATGTGTTCCAAGCGAGACTCTTTCTCATAATTTATCCAAGAAATGACAGCTTCAAACACCTGGAAAGAGCAATAAAACACCTGTCTTTTAAAAGGGACATAAACCGTTAAATCCAACCTCAAACAGAGGTTCAGCAAGTATTGAAATAGGTTTGGAAAAACCAACTAAAGGTATTTTCAAAAGCAAGAAGATATGATAAAAAGATGAATTTAAAAAGAATCAAAACTGGCTTATTTTATTGTGATTGTATGGTTTTCTGCATTCTGAAGGGTCCAACAAACTTTGTATTAAATGTCTACTGTACAATCCCGACCACAAAGACTATCTAATGCCATGAATATAAGTACTGCACAACTTAAATTCTGTTTTTTGTTGAGCTCAGTCCAATGCCCGACAACTTGAAATATGTGTTTCAACGGGAGTCTTTCATGACATGAACCTTCCAACTGAAAACATTTATGATACTCATGGGCATGAGAAGGAACATTCAAGAGAAATGATGTTCTGATGACTTACTATGTAATGGAATACATAGGCCAGCTGGGACTTTTGGACTTAAGTGGTGATGGCATTTGTGCACATAAATGTGTTGGCACTTTTTAAAAACCGTATCGTCTGGCCAATGTAAATTAGGGATGGGGCATTAAATTTAAAGTGGCGCTAATTGCATTCTATTCAGCTTGCTGTACTATCTACAGAAGGTTAATTAATTGCTCATTTAACTCTGTTTTAGAATTGGGAACTTTGACCTGTGTGTCGTCTCACCCCTTCAACTTAATTAGTGGCTGCTGAAGAACTGTCCTTCCTTTCCCCACTGCACAAGATACTTAGCTGCATTTAGGTGCTCTGTGACTTCATCTGCATCAAATCTTTCCTTAGGGTACAACAGTCATAACCTTGCTAGGTTACCAGATATCACATTCCTTTAATTTACACATTTTACCCTTTCCAGAATTCCACCTTTGCTCTTGACCACAAGAAGCAGAAGCTTGTAATCACAAATATGTACAAATTAAAGCTAATATATCATGGGGCAAATTTAATTTGGAACAAGCTATTAAAGGGACAGATTTTTATTTTATTTTTAAGAAGTACCATACTCACTTTATTTTAAACTATTGCTCAGTTTGCTGTTTTGCACTTGCACCAGAGTTATACTAAAGGCAGGTGATTCAGTCCTGCTGAACTGTAACCTGCCTGGAAACCATATGCAAGCTCTTTGAAAAGAGATGAGTGTGCAAGTGAAATAATAAAATAAACATTTAAAACTATTTCCGAAATCATTAAAAATAGACTGGAAGGAAAGAAACTTTTATTTTTATTTTACTTCTGACACTGAAGCTTTTATCTGTCTGTATAGTAGCATGCTAATAAAACACAGTTCACTGTAAGACATCTTGTGTGTCTATACAAAACTTGTTCCCTGCACAGTAACCAATATAAATGACTGTGGTTTATTGGAAATAAAACAAAACACAGTCTGTGGCTGGGATGTAAAACTAAGCCACTAAATATTCTTATGTGGGATAGGACTAAGCCATTTAGCATGTGGGAAGGGACCAATGTATACAGCAGCCCTCATTGCTTACCTCCAAATAAGAGTGATCAATACAGTGGTACCTCTGGTTACGAACTTAATGCGTTCTGGAGGTCCGTTCTTAACCTGAAACCGTTCTTAGCCTGAGGTACCACTTTAGCTAATGGGGCGTTCTGCTGCTGCTGCTGCCGCTGTGCGATTTCTGTTCTCATCCTGAGGTAAAGTCCTTAACCCGAGGTACTACTTCCGGGTTAGCGGAATCTGTAACCTGAACTGTTTGTAACCTGAGGTGTTTGTAGCCCGAGATACCACTGTATCAGAAAGTTTAAGTAATCACATAAAGCTTATTTAACTATGCTTAAAATGCTTTTCCCTATAGACCCGAGTGACAGGTGGTTCAGCATGCTTGTTTGACTGTCTTGATCCAAGACAGCAGTTTCTAAACCAGGAACCCTCCAAATACTGCTGGATTCCCATCAGCCCCAGCCAGCACAGCCAGTGGTCAACAGGAGACATAGTCCAACAACATCTGGAGGCCACAGGTTCTCCACTGTTGCTCTAGATACACACGGTTTCCCCCAATGAAGCGCCACCTTAAATGTTTTTAAAATGTGCCTATTTCTGGAAATATTGGGGACTATCTGCTTCTAGTGCCCATATATTTTGTCATTCTTTTGCTGAAAACACTGCAATATTGTTATATTTCTGCATCACAGACTGTGCAGCGGGCCAAACCTTTTCTTCTGATGAAACGGTTAGCTTGTCACTTGATATCAAACTGCAAACTTGGTCTAGGCTAAGGCTAAGGAATTCTTCACCAAGCATCACCTCAGGAAAATGCTGCTCTGTTCAAAACAACCAAAAGTTGAGAAAATGAAGGTTACAATGAGTCTAAAGAAGGGACTAGTAGAAGCAGTAAATTATATTGCAATTTTATGTTGTGAAATAATAATAAGAAGAAGAATGACATAGCCTGCACAAAATTACCACCAGCAAGGAAAGAGGGACAACTCCACAGCCACAGTGATAAGCACAGTCTGCTGCTGTGCACATGAATCTCTGTATTCAAAAACAAGCAGCCCATACCTTGGGGTAGCGCACATACATTGCTTGCCAAAGGTCACTCCTGTCTGAAACACTGCTGTCATAAGTGTTTGCAATTCTGTATATGGACCAGTGGCCCTGGTTCAGTATAAAGCAGCTTTCCTATGGGCAGAAGCAATCAGAGTTGCCTGTAATAGCCTGGGAAGCTGCCTGCTACAGAGGTGGAGTTCTCTATTAGCTATTGAAATGTCATCCCTGTATTTGCCAGCAGGTGGCCCTTGCAAAAACAAATCTCAGCCAAACCATGCACAATACACTGGTCTACAGGCCACCCTTTAGGGTAGAAATGTAGGAGTGCGATAATAATTTTGCAAAGGCAGAAACTTACACTTATGAGGCCCATGTCATTTACTTTAAGTCACTTTTTCAAAGGCGATTTTTTTTCTAGTAAGTGACCTCATCTGCTCCCTCTTACTCACTTTTAACATGCAGATATTTTGTTTGACCCAGTTAATGTATAGCCAAAGCACTTGGATAGCATTTTTTGAACGACTTTTCATTAACATTACATAGGATGCTGAAGTAAAAGGGCTCATGAAGGCCAATAAAACAACAAAAGCAGCTCTTATAATTACCTAACAGCCAGATCTAAACTGAACGCAATACTTGCCTGGTTAAAGATTAAACAATTCTAAAAATCAAACCTTGAAGAGTGAGCCATTTGTCCCAGACACCAGTTTCTCCTTTGCTTATTATGCTGCAAGCAAGTGACTGAAAAGGTTTCATCTTGATTTGCAAGTAATTTGATTCTAGGGTGGCCATATTTGTACTACTTCCTAGAGGCCTGTCCTATATCTGAAAGGTTGTCAGAGGACAGTCCTTTATTTGAAGGATGGTCTGGTACAAGTCTGATTTAAATAAAAGAGAATGGCGAGACCTTGAAGTTGCCCATCAATTGTTGGTGCCTGGATGCAGAGCAGGAACATTTGTCACCATCTTCCTCGTTATGAAGAAATACACTGTATTTCTATTTAAATTATAGTAATTATTTCTAAATTTGCATCTGTACATATACATTAGCATATGAAAATTTTAAATGACTGTCTTCTCCTGTTCCCTCTTTTGCAGTTACTCATTTCATCTATTTCTGGTGCTGCATTAAGTGGCTATCTTATTTAACACCTGCCATTTTCTAATCACTGTGTTTCTAAGCACAACTGCAAATGTCACTGTGAAGGCGGCTAACTGAAAGTAGGTCTAACGTCTCAGAGTGCAAGATCCTGCTTCACTGTAAGGAATTTTAAGCCTATGTGTTGGAAACACTTTATCTGAAGGCTATCAAAAATTTAACAGACAGCCAAAAGATGTTCCTGGGCTCTGTATTTCTGTCTTGCCCACTGGGCATAGATCCGATTCATATTGTGAAAATCAGTAACATTTTGAAAATCAGTAACATTTCCAAATAATAGAGGGTAGGCGACACATAACATTGCTGGTGCAGTCCTCCTATATCCATCATGGATGCTACCAAAGGCAGTATAAAGTCCAGGATGAGGAGGTACATCAAACTATGGCTTTAGTAACATAGAAAATGTCGTTGCATCTCAGTACAAAACTTGAACCAGCAGCTGATTTTGAAAATGACAAAAATTCTAAGTATTTCTACCCTTTTACGTAGATTCAATCATCTGCTTCTCTGCCTCCTCCCTCATTCTTTGCTTATGAGGAAGCAAGCAGGAAATTGTCCTCCAGGCATCAATATTTCAAAACAAGAGACAACTTGGAGGCGTGTTTGTTCACCTGCATAGGCGTTGGCCTGTTGCAACAGTTCAGTGCAAGTATGCACATCTGCAAAGGCGCGAATACCAAGGCAATTCGTGGGATGGAGCTGAGATTGAAGAAAGTCACAACAGTTTTGTCGAACATCCATTAGCTGCAATAGGCTGGCTGCTGGTAACAAAACCTGAAAGGCAGAGGACAAAATGGCAGAGAATGAGCACTATACTTCGCCTTCTTGGATAAATATTCTGTTGCAACTTGCTACAGCACAGTTGAGGAAGAGACAACGAAGCCATTTCGGAGTCAGAGGACAGACTACACATGACCAAAAAGAGAGATCTCATGCAGGCAGTCATCCTTTTTGATATCTCCCTTTCCCTTCAAAGAGGATGAAGATGTGGGACAGAATTAATAGTTCTGATATGTACGTCATAGCAAATCCACCTAAAATTACAGGATTTCTCATAAAGATTAGTATATGGAGTAGGTGGTGTTCTTAAAAAAGAAGCTAGAATACACTGTGCTATTTTTACTTCTGCATTTTTGAAATTATCCCCCACTGAATAAATCATTGCTCATTACCTCATTCTTCACAGCATTTTGATTTTACCACTATGTTCAGGCCACGTCCCCCATTTGTTGTTTTTATACCACACTGTAAGTGTGCACGGCTTCCTTATGGTGTAGAAAGGGCTACATGTTATTGCCCTGCATGTTTTACAAGCCATGCTCTCCCCCAGAACATACATTACAAAGCTGATACAGCCTTTACCCTCAGGAGAAATTATATACAGTCATTGTAATGAGCAATAATTTAACATGTACAGTAGTTGCAGCCCTCTTGCTAATCATGAATACAAAGAATGTGGTCCTCAAGGTCAAAGAAGCCAGTCACCAATAGAAACTTTACATCTCCACAAAAAAACACACTTCTTTATGAATGGCACTGGTACATCAGCACCTGCTGTCCAACTTCACTGTGAATCATTTTCCATTACAGGCAGCAAAGTGTTAGTATATCCAAAGGGCTCATACTGCTGAAAGAATCATATCTGTATGTGACATTCTGGTGAGGTCAATGATATCTACAGTACTGAATGAAGGCAGATTGAGAAGATGGCCTGGGGCACTTACATTTGTTTATCTGCCAGGAAGACTCCTCACCAGCTTTAGCAATGAAAAAGCCGTTTTTTAAAAGGCAAGGCCCTTTTAAAAGCTAAACAGTATTAATGTCACTCTTTCCCTCACTGCTAAATATGCATTTACTCTGTTAGAATCAAGCAAACTCATAAGCAGGTCTCCAAGGAATGATCTAGAAAAGCATGGCAAATATCGTTAAAGACTTACCTTGCCATTACACTGTGTTGGCAAGAAGAAAACTGTGTTCATCCACTGCCTCAACTCACTTCATCCCAAAAGAACAGTAGTAAAACTGCAACGTGCCCTGGGGTGCATTCACTGTACTATTCCAGCAAGAAAAATCCAACCCAGCTGGATCACACAGGAATATTACAAATCAGTAACTTTTTCAGAGAATGCTAACCCCCAACAGGCAACAATAAAACACAGAAATTAATTAAGCTATGGGCTCTGGCTCCCAAACACTTTTGATTCCTAGCACAGATTAACTTAAATTAGCAAAAGGAAACTAATAACAACTGTTTCTTTTTTCCAGCAATTTCCTAGAACTGCTTCAGTGTATTGGAATTCCACTAATATGATACAAGTTTCAGTGTAGTTTTTGAACAACAGTTCCAAGTAAAGGGCAAATTCACATCTATGCTAATTATCTGTGAACCACATAGCCCCGTTTCTTGCTACAAAGATGGCCTAGATTGCCTACCAGGGCAGTAGTTCAGGCTCATACTTACCCTCCTTTTCTTGTGCATTCCAATTCCCTTCCTCACTTCCCAGTTTGTGAGAACTATGTCTCAAACAAGGTCTTTCCTGATCCACAGCACTGGACCCTGTTATTACTGAACACTTGTTTCTATCTGTTTTTATCATGCTGTGTTATTGTTTTTATATTGCAGGCCACTTTAAACCTTTAAACACTAAGCGGCCTGCATTGCAGGGGGTTGGAACAGTTAGAATTGTATACCCGGAAGCGACCCTATGATTTAAAGGGCTTTCAAACAAGCATATAACAACTATAATGTTCCATGGCATACAAATCAGATAAACAATGGTTAACTACAAACCACAGTTTGCATCCAAACAAGAACTGGAAACCACAGGTCAGACTGGGATTCTGGTTTGTATTAAAACTATGGCATACTACGATAACCATAGGTAAAGGTAAATGTACCCCTGCCCGTACGGGCCAGTCTTGACAGACTCTAGGGTTGTGCGCTCATCTCACTCTAGAGGCCGGGAGCCAGCGCTGTCCGCAGACACTTCCGGGTCACATGGCCAACGTGACGAAGCTGCTCTGGCGAGCCAGAGCAGCACACGGAAACACCGTTTACCTTCCCGCTAGTAAGCGGTCCCTATTTATCTACTTGTACCCGGGGGTGCTTTCGAACTGCTGGGTTGGCAGGCGCTTGGACCGAGCAATGGGAGCGCACCCCGCCACGGGGATTCGAACCGCTGACTATACGATCGGCAAGTCCTAGGCGCTGAGGTTTTACCCACAGCGCCACCCGCGTCCCTCACGATAACCATAGTTTGCCTTATATTCTGATGAAATGGCAAACTAGATACTGAGAACCAAACAAAGAGAAGGAATGTGCGAGCGCACAAGGAATGGTGCCAACATCCTTGGTTGTGATGTCTGAACAAGACCATCGCCCCTTGGCTTTGCCATTCCTCCCCCCACCCCACCCCACCCCATATAAGAACAATAATAATTAACTTTTAAAATTCCACAGATTGCTTATATACTGAATGTGAAATTCTTCAAACATTCTAAATTGTTACATAAATGACTGGAGCCAAATGACTGCTGCTCTACAGCACTTGATACAATTATTCAGCCGTGACAGAAATTAAACTGGGTTGGGAATACTTGTATTAAATAGCACAGCAGGGACCGCCTGGGACAAAGTGGCACTGGCCTGCAATGTTTCCACTAAAAATACGCAAAGACAGTGAAAAAAGTGAAGAAAGTATGGTTATTAACTATTTGACTTCGATGTGGTATGCTTTTTGTATTATGTGTTAATCTTTTTCTTTTTTGTGTCCTTCTTTGTTTATTGTATTCTGGTGATGGTGTTATATGTGTTTGGTGATTATAATGTCTAAAATCTTCAATAAATATTTTATAAAAAAAAAAAAATACGCAAAGACAGGCAGCAGCATTATCCAATGGTGCAAATATCTAAGCACATTACTTGTGAATCCACATGATCTTTCAGCAGCAGGCCTGTCCGTTAAAACAGAGTTCAGGAACTTCAACAATTATATCAGTAAAGCATTCAGCCATATCACTTTTCAAGGGCCAAATCCAAATTATCAAAACACAGAAGACTGGCACTGATTTAAGTTAAAGTGCTTTGACCCAGGGTGCTTAACTTGTACCTAAGTGATTGTCATGATCTACATTATCTTCTTATAACCCATGAGAAACTGCCACACCCCAAGTCAGACCAACTGCCTCACCCCAAGTCAGACCAGGTCCATGTAGCTCAGTAATGTCTACACTGACCAGCAGTGGATGGATCTCCAAGGTTTCACACAGGGGTCTCTCCCAGCTCTCCCTGAGATGCCATGGATTACATCTGGAATCTTCTGCATGCAAAGCACATGCTCTTTTACTAAGTTTTGGTTGATATGTTCCAAAAACTCAAAGGGCTCTGAGGGTTAAGTGAAGATAGGGCAGCCAACATGGTGCTTCCCAGATGCTTCAGACTACAACTCCTACCACCCCGACTACTGGCTAAGCTGGCTGCTGGGAATTGTAGACCACAGCATCTGTAGGGCACCAAGTTGGCTACCCCAATGTAAAATCTTCTGATAAAGGTACCCCTGACCATTAGGTCCAGTTGCGGATGACTCTGGGGTTGTGGCGCTCATCTCGCTCTATAGGCTGAAGGAGCCTGCATTTGTCTGTAGACAGCTTCCGGGTCATGTGGCCAGCATGACCAAGCCACTTTTGGCGAACCAGAGCAGTGCACGGAAATGCTGTTTACCTTCTCATCAGAGCGGTACCTATTCATCTACTTGCACTTGACGTGCTTTCAAACTGCTAGGTGGGCAGGAGCTGGGACCGAACAACAGGAGCTCACCCTGTCACAGGGATTCGAACCGCCGACCTTCCGATCAGCAAGCCCTAGGCTCAGTGGTTTAGACCACAGTGCCACCCACATCCCAAACCATGAATATAAGCTCTTAAATTCTCTCTCACTCTACAACTGCAGTAGTGTAACATTACTGATTCCTGATTTTACATCAATGCTGTACAAAATCTTTTAAATGCACAATATTTTTGCCCTTAGAATACTAAATCTAAGCAGAGACAGCTGGAGAATGGAGAAAAAAATATTACCAGTGTAATCACAGTATTTCCCACATATTATAGACTTACTCCTAAATGTGTGTAGAAAGCTACCTTAAACATCAAATTTGCCATTCAGTTACAATGTGACTACCCAGAAGATGCCCTCTTTAGGGAAGACGTGTAGAACATAATTTAATTTTATAAAGAAACATTGCAGAATTCTATTGCTGAACATAATGGTTGTAATGATGTGATATGATCTGATTTCCAGGCACATCCTGAAAGATATCTAACTTCAATTCCTAGGTAATCTTTTATTATTGGAGTCATTTTAATCTCACCTTTAAAAATGAAAAATTATGAAGGCAACTTACATAAGTAAAACACTAAAGCAAGTTCATCATAAAAACTATGTACAAGAAAAGGCAGAAAATCACTCATGGTAAGCCTTGGAAAATAATTTTTTTAATTCAATTTATCGATCTCCCCAGGAAGGGAGCCACCACTAAAAAGGCACCTTTAAGCTCTCCTCACCTGAACATTTTCTTCTGTGACCTCTATCTCAGCGGTGTAGATGTAATCAATCAGCTTACTTAAGGTTAGTCCATCAACATCTTTGATCTCGATCTTCTTTGCTTTGCTTTCAGTCATATCTCCTGAAATTCAATTTTAAAAATAATTCCCCCAAAAAAATGTGGTTTGTGTTTCTATTTCCCCCACCCCACCCCCTTAGGTTCAACTGAGCACGTGAAGAAATTTCTACCTATCCATCTTAACAAAAACAAAAATAATTTTAGCACATTCTAAACAGTGATCCAATTTCTAGATGTCTAAGAAATACTACCAAGTTTATGATTCCCACTTTCAAAATTACTTTTAAAAATCTGTTTGGCAAGTTAAGGCATCTCTGCTGCACAGCTTTGAGAACAGATAGCTACAGTTCATATAACTGAAAAGCCAATATTCTTTTCTTTTTTTAACAATATGTTTTAAAGCAGCTGGCCCTGTTTGATACTCTTCCATGAAGAAAGACAGAAATATTCTTTGTTCCCTTTTCTACATTCTTAAAAGGAACAGAAGCCAACAGGCTACTATCGTTATACTCACTCAATAGGATTGCTCTTCCTTTGAAGAAAACCTGTCTACAAAAGAAAGGAATTGGTAACTTGCATGTATCTTAAGATTCCATGCATTTATTTTGAAGTAGTACGTTCCACTGGAAAGTACGTCCATGTCTATATTCCGTGACATAGCCTTCAAATGGGAGGTCTGTATAAGGGACAGGCCAGAGTATCTCATGTCCACTGCAAGTTGTACCAAATGTATGTACTTTTGAATGGCTTTTCTCTTATGTGTGTGAAACAATAGAAGTTATTATGATGGAAGTTGCAAATTCAATTAATAGCTTTCTATTACAAGTTCTACTAGCATGATATTGTCAAGCTTCACAGTTCTACTCCTGTCTTAACCAAGTGGTAAGGATTCCCTACATTTGCTGACATGGTCAGGTGGTCACCTGCACTAGTGATCCAGGGCAATTGACATCTGAGGAGGGAAGGCACTCCTCCAACCTGCAGTGTTCTATGGCTGGAGTCATCTTCTGAGGTAGTGATGGGGAACCTGTGGCCCTCCAGATGTTGTTGCACTACAATTTCCATCACTCACCACTGGCCATGCTGGCTGGGTATGATGGGAGTTGAAGTCCAACAAGCTCTGGAGGTCCAAAGGTTTGCCATGTCTGTTTTAAGAAATACCATCCCCTGCTTTTTCATGTTGCAAAATACCAAGTGTTATTTATTTTTTTGAAAGATTGAAATACCCGTATCTCTCGTGGAGGAGGCACACATAGAAAGACCTCAAATGATTATCACAGGGTCTGGATTGATTTATGAGGGATTTGGCGGTCCTTGAAGTATTGCGGTCCTGAGCCATTTGAGGCTTTATAGGTCAAAACTATCACTTTGAATTGGGCCCAGAAACTAATTGGCAGCCAGTGTAGTCCAGCCAGGATCAGTGTAATATGCAAGGTAACTCAATGTATACAGTGTGATTGCTTAGTTGTGAAATATATACAGTCCTAGATGTAGGTAGCTGTTTGGGGCTGTAACAGAGGAGCTGCAATTGGTCCTCTTACTAAGATGAAAAATTTGCAACCTCTTATCATTTGCACAAGCTGCCACCCCATCCATGGAGGGAGCAGCTTGAGGGTGGGCGTTTGAGCTCATACTGCATTTATTTTTGCTGGCTCTTCTTTATAAGTGCTATAGAAAGTGAGAGCGCTGATGTCAGGCAAGGCTCTTTTGAGCTATTTGTGTATTTGATGTATTCTTACAATAGCTGAATACCTCTAACTTTAGATCAGTTGTGCTTGAAAGCTTGAGACGAGGTTTTATTGTTGTATAATTTCCCCCCTTTTCTGTCATTTTATGCTGCTGAAGGTCAGAGGTCAGCAACTAAATCAGCACTGAACTGGTCTGTGGGCCAAACACTGAACTGAGGGGGTCACAGTTTTCCTCGATCTCATTCACTGGTGGAAGAAGTATGGTAATTGGAAAGGAACTGTTAGGGTGGCAGGCGCTGCCCTGTGGAACTGCCTACCAGTAGAGGTTCAGCAGGAACTATTCCTCCTTGCCTTTGGATGTCTTTCGTTTAGACAGGCCTCCTCAACATGAATTTCTTTTATTTTAATCAATTAGAATTTATTTATGCCTTTTCATTGATATTTCTGTTGACTTTGTTTTTATATGCAGTATTCCCCTTTGCTATTTTTGTTATGAAAATTTGCCCATCTGGGCCACTACAGTCTTCTCTGACTAGCAGTGGCTCTTCAGGGTCTCAGGCAAGAAGGAAGGCCTTTTCCTTCACTTGTTTAATTTAACTAGAGATCCCAGGGATGGAACCTTCTGGCTACAAAGTACATTCATTACTAGAATCTTTCCTCTTTTCCTGCCATCTTAGGCCAAGAAGGACTGTGAAGAGGCTGCTGTTACAAGTTCATACTGGCATCCGTAGTGAGTATTAAAAGGGAGAAGGGATGAAATAGGGGCAATCACATGTGTCACTGCTTGGCAACCACATAAGCATCTTTTAACTTAGTTTATTGTTAATCAAGAAGCAGAAAGGAATAATGGCATGGTAGCAGGGCAACCACATGACTTTCACCTCCCCTGTCCTGCTGTTTTGAATTAAGATTAGTACAGAAGTGGTTGCCACTGGTGCACCTTAATTTAAAGTGACCCAGTGATGATTAGGATTAGGTCCCAACCTCTTCCATCTTCACTCTGGGGCCAGAAGGCGTCCTTAAAGAGCAAGATCCACCGACTGCTCACTAATTTAGGTCTTTACCTACATTTCACCTTCGCAGGAGTCAACCTGAACAAGTAGTATCAGCACAGCTATTAAAATGCACTTTAAACTAGCACCTTGCTACTTCTAAGGGCCAATTCTCACAAGACAATCGTCTTACATGGAAGTGTTCTGATTTTTTTAAAAAGCAAAACCCTACATGGACCCCACATGTTGAATGTCACATGAGATGAGTACACAGATGTCTGTCTATTTTGCCACTCGCCACTTAAACAAGGAGGAAAGTAACTACGGTTTGCAACTGCAATAGTTATTGCAAAAGCAGAAAATCCACACCTTACCTCAAAAGCAAGCTATCCGATGTAAAATATATTAATGATGCTATATACTTCCACAATTAAATTAATTACCAAACCATTTTCTGTAAAACAGTCATTCAAAAATCTGTGTTATTCCCCATGCAGTGTCTTTTGTTCTCTTGTAGCAAAATTCGTAAGGACTAGTTCACATGTTAAAGCTGCTACATACAGAGGGTGAGACAAAGCAAAGAAAGAGAGGCAAAGTAAATGTGGTGGTGGTGTTTTTGCAGGAATCAGAGACAGCACACAGGCTGAATCCCCACAAAATATCCCTCAAATCTCAGCCTCAGGCTCACCTACAAACCTGAGCCCAGGCCCATGGTAGCCTTAACCTGAAAATGGTCTCCATTATGGAGCTTACTCCGATCTTTGACATGCCTCACCAGTACAATCAAGTCTGGGATGAATGCTCCTAATGCTGGATACACTATCTGGAAAGGCACACAAATGGCTGTTTACATAGTAAATTATAAACCTCATGTTTACTTCCCCCCGCCCCCCCATACAGAACACCTTTAAAAACAGTCACAGGCCTATACTCAAACCCTAATGGATACCAATTAGAACTAATCTGCATCTTAGAATCTGCACCCTACACTAGCACCCAACACATAGCTTGACTCCAAATATATTTTAATCAGCAAATAACAGTTATTTGCTCAAAGGCCCAAAGATACCTGTAAACATTGCACAGAAATACGGACTGCAGGCTGCCAGGACAATACGATGGGCTTCGATCTCAACATCTTCAGCAACAATCACCACATCACAGAGAAGCCGCTTGCTGTGAAGACACCAAAAAATCATGGTTTCAGAACGTGCTTCCAAACTGCGCTTTCTATATGCAGACTTGAAATGGTCTAGTTTCCTTGAATGACTCTTCTGCTATACAGCACTATTAAGGGGGATGAGGAGGTGTTTGCTGTAGCCTCTATAGGCAGCCCTCTGGAATATTCAGTTCATTTTTAATTAACAAACATGACAATTTAGCTAGATTTCAAGGTTATAGCCTCGCAAATCTTATTTCAATATGTGGGTGAATTCAAGATCCAAGTGTTCAAACATACAAAGAACTGTTAAAAAAAAAACCTCATCCATTTTGATGAATACTGAGCTGAATATATTTATATCTACAGCTTATGCAAAAGGTTTTTTTCCTCTGTAATTATGTGTAGGTGTCTTAAGACCAGTAATCCATTATTGGATGTCAAGTAATTTTTAAATAAATGGGAATAGCATGAAGAAACATCTTTGGAGGGGCTTTGTCTTTTATTCAAAGCAGTTGGTAACACAGCAGTAGCCTCATCAGTCTTGCATTGAGTCTCCTCCCTCTTCAAGCCCTTCCAAAAAAATTACCCCCAAAGAGAACATACAGTTACCTCACACGAATGGTAGAGAACCAGTGCCCCCCCCACCAGATGATTCCCAACACTGCCATGCCTGCTACCAATAGGCCTGCTAGGAGGAAGAGACCATTTGTGATGGCTGCCAAGAAGCAGGTGTTGGCAACTTATTTCCCTCCCAGCCTTTCTAGTTTGTACATGTTCCCTGTACAAGGGGTTTGCAAAGGGACTTAGTGGGCAGCAGCAGCAAAGGCCACTGTAGCTCAAATTGTGCATTATCTGCTTGGGGAGGCCACACACAAAAAGGACTTGCCACTGGGATATCCCAGGTGGAGAGGCAGCACATACAGAGAATGAATAGTAAGAGCAGGCAACACAATAGAAAGGGGTAAGGAAACTCTCCTCCCTCCCATGCCCCATACACCCCCCACTGATCCCCTAAAATAGCATCCTAGCCACATAGCGCACACTAACCTCCAGCCACTAGGGTTCTTGCAGCACACAAGTCTAGCACACTACACAACAGCTAGGGAAAGGAGGGGACTCCACAGGTTAAGCTAAGAAGGAGGCCTCTTGCTGGCTTTCCGCTACCAAGGTCACCATGTCTGGACAAGGGCCACCTGTTCTCAGTCCATCCTCTGTGACAGTGAAGGCTCAAAGCACAGCTGCTATCACTGACACTAGCCAGTCCAGGAACTCCAAGCGAAATGGGAAGGTGGAAGCACCTGTTATTGACATAATACCTACCCACTATATACTTTACAGTGTGGGGAGGAGAGGAATGCAAGGGACTCTGCCTGAAATCTTATAAACTAAGGGACCCGATGCATTTGTGGCCGCTTGACCTCCTACAGGAATGGCCACTGGCTGACCCAGCAGAGATATGTATAGAGTAAAGTGCAGCTCCCCCCCCCCGCTCGCCTGTCCCCAGTCATCATTAAGTTCTCACTGGTCCAGACTTGCCATGTGCGTAATATTGCCATGGAAATCAGCCTTTGCTAAAAACAACAGATTTAAGGCATTCAAGCAAATGCCACAATTTAGTTCTACTACAGCTCAGCAGCAGCAGGGAGCCAAAAGCATAAATCGGTAATAAGCACACAAGGAAAGAGACAACAGAGGCTTAAGGGCAGCTGTAGTCTTACATGTTCAAAAGGGCATCATGCACAAGAGAAGCCATTAGTTTCCACAAAGAGCAGCACTGTCATACGCTCCCCCATTATCCCCCACTGCACTCAAGTTACAAAAGGAATAAGCTAATATTATATCACTCCAAGTACATATTCCACATAACTTAGGCAGCCAAGTGCTCAGGCACATAAGCAACTTTACCCCAGACCCCTCCTGTTCTGTGACAGCAGACTAGAAGTAGAAGCTATCAGCCCCAAGATAACGGGGGGGGGGGGTAGGACTCTTCACATAATGCTGATGCCCCTTTTGACATTACAGACATGATGCGGGGAGCTGCTGTTCCATGCATTCATCTGATAGCATTGCCATAACGCTTAAAAGCACACCACCCTTTGGATCATTATGAAGGAATTTTTGCCCAGCAATTTGGTGGCAAGCCTTTATGCATTATAGCATCTGCAGCAATTCTGCAGCCACCTCTGAAGAGTGCTATAGTCTTGTCATGGTAAGAGTGTGTTGCAATTCAAGAACAGTCATACCACTGAAGTCAAACGGAATCCGTTCTGGAAGTCCGTTCAACTTCCAAAATGTCCGGAAACCAAGGCACAGCTTACAATTGGATTTATGTATCCTAGGGCAGTGTTCCCCAACCTTGGGCCTCCAGCTGTTTTTGGACTACAATTCTGTTTTTGGACTAAATTCTGTTTTTGGACTAAATCTCATCGGATAGTAGGGAATAAATATCTGACCCACAAATAACTCTTTAATCTATCCTGGGCACAACAGAGACATTTTGGATTTATTTACTGCATCTCTAAACAATGTATGGCAGGCAGATATGTAATCAGATTAAGCTCAAGAAAAGATGACAAACTCAGACACACAGACCCCTATCTTAATTACATACATGATTATTGTTTACCCTAGAGCCAATTTTTATAGACAAATGTGGGGCCAATGATGGACTGAACAAGGAATTGTGGTATTTAAAACAAAATAGACTTAATAGTAGGAATTAGGAAGGAACATAGTAGGAACATAGTAGGAAAAGTAGGAACATAGGAACCTAAACAGGCTCTTTTAGCCAACATGAAATTTCTAACTGGTGTGCAAATGGATTGGTAGTCAAACAGAAATCAATTTGCACTAACCATTTTTCTCTGCAATTAGGCGTAGGTGTTGTAATACGTGTAACACTGGATTATCACTTTTTAAATAGCTTTGATCTCCTGGAGATCTTGATTATGTGGTGATTTGCACCAAATGAAAAAGCACACCAAGCATTCTTTTTATTTAAAGAGAGATTCTTTTACGGTGGGAATATTTGAAAATGTTTAAGTGGGTTTATAAAAAAATATTTTGTTTTTAGCAAAGCAGCAACAAGCATGTTTGTGTAAAGGGAAGCAGCAGCAAAGGCCTCCAAACATATAATACTATGCTTGCTTCTTTCTACTGAATAACCTGTCAGCTCTCTTGACTTGTACTGAAAGTAGAATAATTCCAAGCCATTTCAAATATCATATTTATAATATGCTTGATATCCTCCTGTGGCTGACTTCAATATCACAGCACTCACACCAATAACGTCACAACAGTAACACTGGAGGCAGCAATGCTTCTGAATACCAGTTGCTAGAAACCACAGGAGAGGAGAATGTTCTTGTGTCCAAATCTTGCTTGATGGTTTCCTCCACAGGGATCTGGTTGGCCACTGTGAGAACAGGATGCCGAACTATAGATAGGCCACTGGCCTGATCCAGCAGGCTCTTCATGTTCCTATGAAGTTTTGCATCAAGCGACTGATCTGAATAACCTAAGAACTTTCCACACTAGCATAAAAGCACCATCCATGTGTGAGAACTACCTGTGTGATCTGGGAGACCGACATGACACAGAACTTTGTATTTTGAGACACAACCCTGCTTCAAAGCAATGCTTGAACGGAACCTCTTTTTTACAAAGTAAATATGTAGCTTAGATGCCTCCTGTTCAAACTAACAAGCGGCAAGTGCATGACAATGCAAATTGAGCACAAGAAGTACCTCCTTAGTTCATTCATGACTTTGAATGCCTTTCCCATGTGACAAGGATTGATGGTCACTGTTCGCTGGTCCTTATCTTCATCTTCCTCAAGTGGTTGGGGGGATCTCTTGATGCTAAAGACAAGGGAGGAAAGGAAGTTGAATTTTTTTTAATTCTCAAGAAATAATGGAAAATATGACCCAATAACAATTCATGCAGAACTACTGGCATGCTCACTGACTGTGGTATCACAGTTTCATGGTTTTATCTGGCATTGGCAGCTGTCTCCACTATGTTCTGAAGTGTAACTAGAGCACCCTTTTAAGATCTCAGCTATGCTGTACATGCCTTCTACACAACTATGTGAAATATGTGCTAGAGAGGCATGCATAAGTTTTTTTCCTGAACTGATACAAATATTTGTGGATCCTAGACTTGGGCATTTCACATTTCAAGTAAGACATATGCATATCTACCCACTTCTGAAAAAATCTAGAAAGGCAAAAGGAAATTGATCATTTGGGTTTCAAAACTACAACAGTCAGATTACAGTGGCTTTATCATTGATCTCTTATCTACTGAATACACACACACAAAAAAAAAAACACACCTCAGCTCAATACTTTTTATTAAACCTAGAATAGGCAAGTGTATAAACTTTTCTGCACATTACCAAGATGCAGGAATAGTGTGAGTCACACATCCTTTTTCCATGCATCCAAGCACTGTGCAAAGGAGAACTTGCACATTTTCTCTGCAGGAGTCACTTATACATCCTCTATAGTTAACATGCAAAACAACCCAATTAATCCTTCTGCCCAAGACTGAAGGTCAGTTCATATTACCTTAAAAGGAATGAATGTAGGTGTACAGAATGAGTTTTTTTCACTACATGTCCAGTTCCTAATGTTTCAATAGATGTACATCTATTATGTGGGCACAAACAACTGTCAATGCGCAATGGAAATCAGGAGTTAGTTAAGCAGTAAAACAAAATGCACAGCCACCTCACTATATGCCATAAAAATTAGTCCATGTGTCCTTTCTGTATAATTTCATGGTCTTATGAACTGGACCTTACATAAAAGACCCAAAACCCTTGTTTAATTTAAAATGCATAAAGTTACTCAGAGTTAATGTATTTCCTTAATGTAAAAAAGGCAGATTATAGATCTAAAGGCAATGGAAATAAACAAAATAATCTTGCCAAACCAGTTTCCCCTCTAAACAAAAAGACAAAACAAAACACATTCCCTAACAGCACTGCCAATACAGCTGTATGCAAATACTTCCGCAAAGGGCCTGAACCATTTCCTAAAGAGAGAGGCCCAATTTAAACATAACGCTGGACAAGACAGAATTCAGCCATGGGGTGTTCCATGCACCGGCTTCACATTTTAACTAGGCCATCAGCCCCTGCACATGCAAGCCACAGACCTCTGGTGTGGTAGCAGTGTATGCACAAGGAAAGGCAACACAGTTCACAAAAAGTGCTGGTGAACAGAATGCTGCAGTAAAGTTTGCCTTACACACCCAACATATAGGTTAAATTGAGCTCGAGATTCCTTTGAAAACATTTTGTAGAATCCTTTCAGATATATTTCTGCAAACCTTACTGTAGCTCTGTTTTTATCACCACCAGTATATAATGTTAGCCAAAAAAAAAAAGGCCCATGAAATTCCAGGAAGGAGGCTGAGGTGAAAGGAATGTTCCAGTATCTTGCCTCATCCCTTTCTAGTATACTCTATCCCTTTCAGCCACCTCTTCATTCTAGCTTTCCTATCCTCCACTTCATTCTCTCTCTCTCTCTCTCTCTCTCTCTCACACACACACACACACACCCCATATTTTTCCATGTATAAGACTAGTTTTTACCAAAAAATTATGTTTAAAATTGGGGCTCGTCTTATACACAGGTAGTGCTGAGGGGTGTTTTCTTAATTTGGAGTCCCCAAAAATAGGGGGCGTCTTATACATGGGGACGTCTTATACACAGAAAAATACGGTGTGTGTGTATATATACACACACACACACACACACACAGAGAGAGAGAGAGAGAGGGGGGGGGGGAGAGAGAGAAATATTCCTGTGGCACTCTCCTCCATCCACCCATCCAAACAAGCCTCTGGTTCTTTCCCACAATACAGTACTTTAGTCTTCTGTATAGGAATGAATAACAGTTACCTACTTATGTAGGGGGGAAAGTAGATGTACTGCTGGGCCAGTTATTATAGCAGAGGCTAAACCCTTTCTTAGCCCCTCATGTTCTGAAATATATAGAATCCATATTGCTCCTAACTTCACAGCTGTCTTCCTCAGTAATTCCAATGGAGGCCTGAGGCCTGTGTCCTTACTTGGGATCTCCAGTATAGCCCATGACAGTTAACAGACCTCACACCATCAGGGCTTCTCCTTAGCTGGAGAAAGAAAGCTTTACCTTCCAGTGACTGCTACCACACACCGCAACACCAGTTTCTTCCCCACTTCCATTTAAATTAGCTGCACAGCGGTCAACGAATATGGTACTTGGAATATGCCAGGATAGCATAGGCTACCAAGGCAAAATTGATGTGAATTGCAGAGGCAGAAATTCCCTTTGCTCCTGGGAAAACAAACATGGGTGATGGGAATGTTCAGGATGTCAGATTGAAGCGGCTGTTGTAGGAAGCAGTGCTGTGCAATAAATCGCCTTATCGTTGAATACCGGTATTGAAATAACATCGTGGTAAGTGATAAGGTAATATACTGGTGAACAAAAGGTGAAGACTTAATAGCTTTGCTCTCTCCCTCCTAACCAATAAGAAATGATGACAAGTGATAAGAAATGATGATAAACCCTCACACCTCTACATCAAAGCAATTAAGTTACTTAAGGAGGGGAGGTAGCAAGGTCAATGGGGGGTGGCACAGAGAGAGATCACGGCCTAGAAAGTACCCCAAAGTAAAGACAATAAAGACAACACTCGGAGGGCTACATTCAGTCCTAGGCCTGAGGGGTCATATCAAAAAATGTTGTCCTGTGAGCAAAAGGACTTCCACCAGCAAAACAGGATTTCCACTCCTGCACTAGAGGGTTGGGCAAGCCCTTGGAACAGATTGGGGGGTGCCAGGGTGGGGGAAGTCCTTGTGCTAATTGGACAACTTTCCTAGACTCAAGTCATGGAACCCCACTCCTATTCTACAGAAAGAAAAGCTTTCCACCCTGGTTTATATGGTGGGAACAAGGACTGCTCAGGTGCTTGGAGAAATGCGAGGTAACTGGAAGACAAGGAGCATAGTGGCACAAATGTTGGGGTAGCACACTGGAGCTGAATGGCCAATCGAAACCAGGGTGGTCCTGGCAACATTATTGGGGTGGACCCAATGCACCTGCTCAGAGAAGCGTTGGACCCCCTGAACCCATTTGAGTTTGACATGCCTAGAGTAGAGCAGGATAGAAGGTTGAAAGATTGTTGGCAACTGGTTAACAACTGCTTCTTCACCCTGCTCTCTCTTTCCACAGTCACAATATTTTAGAAACTTCAGAACTTACGTTCAGTTTCCTGCTCCACATTTCAGCCTCCACCAGCAACCTGATTATTCCACAGCACTTTCACGGATGCAAGTGTGTCCACTTTGAAATCACATTTGGAATTCCATTAAAAGCAACAAACAAAATGTTTCCCCCATGACCCAAGCTCCCTAGCAGCACTGCTGGCATATTTAAAATCAGCAATTTGGATATTAACATTCTGTGCTCTGTTTATATGCCTGTGATGTATAATAGGCCTGCTTGTTTTAAAGCCCTGCCACTTCACAAACAGCAAACCCATCAGCTTTCATCCTTGGATCATACAGAGATACAACAGAATTAAACCTGATAAGAGTAACTGGGAAGTAGGAAAATCAGAGAAAGACACAAGCAAAGGTGGAATGGGCTGCCTCCTTTATAAGCTGGCGCTTTCTGTTCACAGGAACATTTAATTAATTAATTTCTCCTGGCATACTAGCAGTTCTTCCACAATATACTACTTTTGCACTCTAGCATACTACCTTACTTTCAGCACAAGGCTCTTCTTCCCCCGCTGCCCGCCCAAGAGGAAACATGTATACTCACCAAACAGACCCCATGTTCTCTAGTCTTTTTGCCTCCAATCCCTACAAAGCCCACAGATACGTGCAGCTCTTCCTGCTTAATTTACATGCCAGCCAGCACATTGTGAAAGCTCAGTTCTACTGTTTGCCTGACAATTCACCCTTTCACGCCAGTGTTTGAGGACAGTGATGTAAATGCCTTTTAAGACAGAGCAACACTCACTTTGGTGTTAGCAACTTTTTTTCTGCAGGGTTCCCCACCACACATACCACCTATACGTGCATAGAAAAGTGCAGACATTGAATGTACATAGGGCTACAGAACAGGTCTTGCCACTGCATTGCCACTCCCACCCGCACCTTACCTTCATGACATGCAGGCATGTGAACAGTACTGTTGATTATGCTATTATAAATAGCAATGAATATGGTGTTTGTCAGGCTGATCACTTGATATTGATGGTACTGCTAATATAAATGTGGAGGGGTAAAGGGGGTGTTGAGGCACATAATGAGTCATTAGAAAGTTGAACTGCTTTTACCCACTGAACAGAAACCCTGAAGATGATCTAGTAACACAGAAAGTATTAGGTGGTACATTTACTTCTAGTTCTGCAGACAATAAAAAGTACCCAGGGACCTTGCCCCATTGGAGCACCTGCTGGTAAATGCACCAAAGTCTCTCCAGGGACTTATTTCTAAAGTTTACAAAATCAGATGTAACCATAATGTCCCTAGAAGAGCTGAGTACAGTGGTACCTCCGTTTGCAGACGGGATCCGTTCCGGAGGTCCAGCCAGATCCTGAGGTTTTTGCAACCGGAGAGACCGCTTCTGTGCATGTGGCAAAAACCCGGAGATATACTTCCGGGTTTGCCACTTACATATCCTGAAGTTTACGTAACCAGAGAGATACGTAAGCGGAGGTACGACTGTATTATTTGGGAATATGACACAATGAATTTTGGCTGCATAACCTTTATTTATTTAAGGGACGCGGGTGGCGCTGTGGGTAAAACCTCAGCACCTAGGACTTGCCGATCGTCAGGTCGGCGGTTCGAATCCCCGTGGCGGGGTGCACTCCCGCTGCTCGGTCCCAGCGCCTGCCAACCTAGCAGTTCGAAAGCACCTTCGGGTGCAAGTAGATAAATAGGGACCGCTTACTAGCGGGAAGGTAAACGGCGTTTCCGTGTGCTGTGCTGGCTCGCCAGATGCAGCTTGTCACGCTGGCCACATGACCCGGAAGTGTCTGCGGACAGCGCTGGCTCCCGGCCTATAGAGTGAGATGAGCGCACAACCCTAGAGTCTGGCAAGACTGGCCCGTACGGGCAGGGGTACCTTTACCTAACCTTTATTAGATGGTTACGAGGATTCAAATAACAATTTGCAATAAATATAAAGGTATCCTGGTGGCAGTGAGGTGCTGGATATTTCTGGAAGGATTGTCATTACAAACCTAGTATGAATTGGTTTGGACACTTGCTTTTGCTGAAAAGCCGATGTGTCAACTGAAAGCAGCCAAAAGACTAATGGACTGGGACTCATTCTGTGGTACACAGCACAGCTTTATTAAGCATCCTTCAGACGCAAAAAAGGCATTGGAGGGACTTGCTTGAATGATCAAGAAAACATACCACTGTCACTGCCTAACCTTATTACCCAGTCATACGCAGCTGATTTTTGTGGTGCTAGTTTTGTTAAACATACAAGATACTCATTTTTAAACCTTTTTCTTACAAGGTTTTAAATAAAAATTACAACCACCAAACAACTGCTATTGCTGAAATATTTCAGTCGTTGATCACATTAGTTTTTCTTGCTCCTATACCCAGACTATCACATATAGTAAGTGATTCAACAATCACATGAATTTATGCTCATTTGTCACACACCTGGCAGCACACAGGGAGAGCAAGTCCTTTCCTACACATTTTAGCATGAGTAGCATTGCTCCATGCACTATGAAGAATTGGTTTTGAACATTCCAGAAAGGAGATCACTACTGCTGTTGACAGCTCAACAATTTTCATCAGGACTTTCAAGTTAATACTATGGTCCTCAACATTTAATTCTTTCTGCATATTCCCACTGAAGAACTGCAAGTGGACTGTGCTACTGGGAAGACCATTGGGATTTGTCTTTGATCACTAGAATAGGCTTGAAACAGAAATATGATCACTGAAACAACAGAGAAGGCGGCACTGGGGGAAGAATACTTGCAAATAGCCATGAATATAGGGTATGTGGTGTAGAGAGAAAGAATCACTTCTTTTCAAGCAAAAATTAAATCTAAACAGCTTTTTGTTTAGCACTATTTAGATGCAATACTGCCATAAGATTTGATAAGACTAAGGCAACACTTTTATGCATTTTATGCAGCACTTTTTATGCATTCACTAGTTCTGACTGCATATTGGCCAGAAAGGGAATCTCATTGCTTGGGGTACGTGATCAGCTTTCCAAAATTTCAAAGACACTTTCAGCATCGAAAAGCAGAGACAGCTTGAGCAGCTTTTTGGCAAAGTCAACTGGTACTTTGCACCAATGCACAATCATAACAGTGAACGCATGTCAGTGAGAAGGGAAAGACATGTAGAGGAACCCAACACTTTCTGTGGATAACAGATGCCTTGAGACAGCACACATAGCACACATGCCATCTACCAGGCTATCCCTGTAGGGAGGCAGTCGCTAGTGAAGGTACTCCCATCTGTCAGCATGGGCCTGGAGTCAAGAGCAACATGGAGTTGTAGAAACCACATGGGATTAGTCTTCCACAGTCTCGGAATTGCTTCCATGAATGCATTAACTATGGCTGCAAGACAGCCTGTTCTGGCAACTGCTCCCATCAAAAATATGAACTGCAATGGACATCTACGTGCTCAGAAATAAATTGTTACATGGCCCAAGTACTGTAAATAGTTCCTTGCAGGGTGTCTATCATTAGTGGTGGTGTTCAGCAAGCAATATGAGAGTCCCTACAGCAGGATTTCCGCAGACTGATGCTATTAAGTTGTTGTGGATGACAACCCCTGCTGTCAGAGATGATGGAAGTTGTAGTCCAAAACATCTGGAGAAGGCTTCCCAATAGGGTTTCAGACTGATCTATAGATAGAAGTTAAAAGTGATTACGGAGGTTCATCCCTGCTATCCTCACTCCTCCTTCCTCTAATTATTCCACTGTCAAAATTCAGTTTGCAACTTTCTTAGGGCTTGAAATCCTCACCTTGAGCTCACCAGGTGACCTAAAGGAAGACCCTCTCTCTCTCTCTCTCTTTCTCTCTCTCTCTCCCACAACCAGCGATTTGGGGATAACACTACTTTCCTACCTTACAGGGGAATTTAAAGTTTACAAGACAGTGGGTGTGCAACACTCTGATTACTCAAGAGGGATTCGATGTTTTAGCAGTATTACACACATTGGTTATAATTAGCATTTCTAGTATCATCAGTCATCGTCACCACCACTGTCATTCTTACATCCAGGCAACTGAACTCAGCTCCAACAATTTCAGCAAAGTAGCAATGCTTGGAGCTCTGGGGTTTCCAATACTTTTTTGCATCCCGGTTACTACAAGAAAGGAAATGAATGCATCCCTTCCAGTCATCCCACTCCCTTTCCTGCCTCTAATGCCATTCATTTCTCACAAGTTGAAGCAAGAAAGAAAGTCTAACATGCAGTCCACCCCACCCCCCCATACCCTGATGTATATTTTTCTTCAAGTCAGTGCCCCTAAATTAAGTGGAACTTCATTCCCAATAACTTTGTTCAAATGTTTGTTCTCTGTGTACTAGGAACAGGCTGGGGGTTCTGTTAGTGCTGCCCAACCATCACCTGAGCAGTCCAAGGTTGCACAGAACTTGGTGCTCAGGATCGTATTTTATATGCATAGCTGTATTCTATTATAACTTCGTATGCGAACCAAGCGGATACATATTTCTATGAAGACTGCTGAACAACTACCTTTAATAATATATCCACAGCTACCCCAGCTATGGCCCCATGAAACAGCTCCTGGTTCTACTGTGACAGCTGCCTGCAACTTAGTCTATTAAATGTGGTCGTCTCTCATTCTGAAACCCCATATACAGTTTATAACAAAGCTGATTCCTTCTCACAAATTTCTCTCATCACAAACAACTGGGCAAAGTCCTCAGATTCCAAACTCATAGCAACTCCAGTGGGAGGTCAAAGCTCTCAAAGAATCTAGGAGCAAGTGTGTACATCAAGATAACCAGTGCACAGGGAATGAGGCTGAGCTACTGATAGTGTACAGTAAGTTCACAGTTGAAAGCCCCCTTCTCTCCCTCTCTCTGCAATTATTGGAGAGATGTACAGATATACCATAAATGTGTGTTGACACAAAGGATAAGAGACCAGTAGACTGTGGGTAGAATAAACCGTTTTGCCGATATGGTTTTGCAATAGGCCCTGGATGGATCTCACCACAATCTTTAGCACATGCCAGGAAAATGAGTTCTGAAGGAAAGAGAGAGAGACCATCTTGCAAGCCTGACAATGTTCACTTATTCCTCCCCAAACACTGGGTATCAAACACAGCAAAGTGCTTCCTCGTGATACATTCCCACACTGACATGGGATTTATTTAGAATATTTAGATACCACTCAGTAGCAAAATATTATACTTTTTTGGGGGGGGAGGCAGGTTACAGTAAAGAAATATAGGTGAATACAGTCGTACCTTGTATCCCGAACGCCTTGGTACTCGGACATTTTGGCTCCCGAGCGCCACAAACCCAGAAGTGACTTTTCTGGTTTGCAAACATTCTTTGGAACCCGAACGTCTGATGGGGCTT